AGTGTTTTAAAACACTTAATTTTAATTTTAAAAAATGTTACAAATATAAATTAAGTTACCTCCCTTCATAGCATTAATTTTTGAAACAACAGTGAACATTTCATGTGCATTTACGAAATAAAATCACAACTATCTATTACATTAGTTTTTGTCTTAGCAATTCACCCCTGAAAATGGTCTTGGATGAGACTGAAAGTACTTGGTGGGAAAATAAAAGGAATGAGAAAACTACGATGTCTTCCTTAATGTATTTAATGGCAACATTAAGAAACTGATCTGTGTATTTGAAAAGATTAAAATAAAAATAGACATAATATGTCTAGATTATTCAACCAAATAAAAATATATATATATATATATATATATATATATATATATACACACACACAGTGGGGTTGAATAAGTGATCGTACAGCAAACAAATGTTTGTTATTCTCACTTATAGCGAATGAAAACCTTGAATAACAATGTATTTTGGGGCATAGAATCAGAATCTGCAATTTAAAATTAGAAATTCATCGATAAGTGATAGTTATGGAAATTTTTATATTTCGAATAGTGGAAAAAGTGTTTGTACAGTATCAATTTTTACATTATAATATGGTAGATTTTGGTTGTACTTCAAAGTAGAAGATTCTAAACTGTTTTAGAATATTCTCAGTAACTCTATTGCAACATTCAGTTCAAAATTGGATCATTCTGCAGTCACTGTTCACTGATAACGGTTCTAATAATGGCTAGACGTAAGGAAATGACTTGTGCTCAAAAAGAACTAATTATTAAGCTATGGAACAATGAAAAAAGTTACAGAAACATCTCCAGTGACCCGAATATACCTTTGTCAACAATTGGTTCATTTATTGCAAAATTTAAGACATAATACTGTTGAGAACAAAGGCAGACTCGGTGCTCCCAGAAAGATCTCTCCCAGATTATGAAGAAAGTTGATGTGACAGGTACAAAATAACCCAATGGCCATCAGACAAGACCTTCAGAATGATCTGAGTTTGTCAATAGTTAACGTAACTAAGCAAACGATTAGTAATGAACTACGCAGAGACGGTATAAAGTCGCGCTCTCCAAGAAAGACACCACTCCTTCTGAAACAGCATAGAGATGCCAGGTTGAAATTTGCGACAGAGCATAAAGATAAGGAAAATTCTTATTGGGAAAGAGTTCTTTAGACAGATGAGAGTAAAATTGAGTTGTTCAGTCACAATTCCCTGAATCATGTTTGGAGGAATGACGGCATAGCATACGCACTCAAGAACACCATACCAACTGTCTAATTTGGTGGGGGTAGTATCATGGTTTCAGGCTGCTTTTCAATGTGAGTTGTTGGCAAACAAGCAATTATAGACTGTAGAATGAATGCAGAACAGTATCAACAAATCCTAAGCAAAAATTTATCGCTTTCTGTAGGGAATCTTGGGATTCCTCCTGATTGGATCTTCCAGCAGGACAATGATCCCAAGTATACTGCTAAGAGTACAAAGAATTGGCTTGCTAATAACAATGTTAACATCTTACAATGGCCCAGTCAGTTGCTGGATTTGAATCCAATAGAGAATTTATGGCGGTTTTTGAAAAATAAGATTCGTGATAGAGGTCCAACAATCATCAAAAACCTGAAGACAATTACTCAAGAAGAATGGGGCAAAATACTTACTAAAGTATGCGAATCGTTAATTAAAGACTACAGGTAGAGATTGGTTACTGTTGAACTTAATAAAGGCTTTGCTACAAAATATTAAATTGAGAAAACATGTTTTTGTTCTGCTGTACGATCATTTTTTAAACCCCTAAAAATTTAAATATTGCTATATTTTCTTAAACATGGAATATTTAGTTTTATATGCATACATTTTTAGTATGCAATCTGATACATTAGATATATTTCTGTTTTGTTAATTTAATATGTTGCAAATAAAAATATGAAATATTTTCATGTGTACAATCACTTATTCAACCCCACTGTGTGTGTATGTATGTATGTATGTGTGTGTGTGTATATATATATATATATCTCACTCATAACTCTTCCTTACCATAACAATTTTTCCATTGTATTATTTATACACAGAAATAAGTGCAACCACAACTTCAATCTCGAGTATGCCACACTTATTGAACAAGAAAACCACTTACTTAAATGGAAAGTTCTTGAGAGTGCAACTGTTGAACTTTGCCAAAATGTTAACATACACCCTGAATTTTTCAAATATCTCCTTTCTTAAAGGAAATACTCTTTCTGCAAGCTAACATACATGACCATAAAAGTTTTTAAAAATTAAAAGAAAATGTTAACTCAAGACCTATATTTTAAAATAGAAATAATAAATACATAAATAATATATTAAATTAAAATCAATTAATAAATAATAATTACATTAAAAACTAAATATGCATAAACAAATAAAATAAAAATTCAACAATAACATTTACTCACTTTTGTTTAAATTACATAACTCCGCATCTGCTAATGTTTACCTTTACTTACACTGTTAATTTTAAGAATATTTTAGGGTGTTCCTAAATTTAAAATTTTGAAAAAGTTATATTTTTCCTCCACTTTACTTCTGTCTATAAATACAAGTTACTAAGTAAAATCTTTACATTTACCTTGATAAATTCCATTGACAGGATAAAACATATTGGTAAAGAAAAGATTTCCTTTGGTCTTTACTTATATATATATCTCCAAGTGGTTAAAATTGAGGCAGAGGTCAATGTACAAGACAGAGCAAGAATATAATATAAAAGGCTCAAACACTAATATTCCATGGTTATAATTTATTACATTGTAATCATGATCAATTCATCAGACCTACAATCCCCCCCCCAATATATATATATACACACACACACACACACACACACACACAGTGATGTGCAAAAGTAGGTCAACCCCTAAGATAATATTAAAAACATTTGTCTCTTTTTTTCCCAGATAATCAACAAATCTTACATATAAACTATATATTCATTAAGAAAAATCTTTATTAAATGAATTACAACCACTTTATAAATTTTTCATCAAGCTAGAATAAGAATATTAATTAAAAATTAAGATGTGCAAATAATTTTTTGTGCATGGATAAAAATTAAAATGACACATTTTTATGGTAAGGTGTGTATACTGCAGTCAACCAATGTAACTCAATTGTGTTATGCAAAAGGGTGCAATTAGACTAAATTTTTAAAAAAATATGCCAAGATCAAAAGAATTTCTCAAAGTTTTATAACATATCAATTGAAGCCCATAACGATGGAGAAGGCTATAAAAAGCTATCAAAACTATTTGTAGTGTACATCTCGACCGTGCAACAAATTATTTATAAATAGAAGGCCTTTGGTATGACGGCATTGCAATCAAGAAGTGGGCATCTGTGGAAAATAACTGCAAGAGTATGTAGACATCTATTTCAGCAAGTCCAAGAAAATCCTGCTGTGACCTCAGCAGTTCTCCAAGGCTCCCTCGTCAATGTCAGAATCAAAGTGCATATGTCTACAGTACAATGAAATCTGAACAATGCCAGTCTTCACGGCACTGCTTATGAAAAACTACAAACAAGCTGGCTCAACTATGCCAAAGCTCATATTAATAAGCTAGAAATGTCCTGGCTGAAGGTTTTATGGTCAAATGAGAACAAATGAGATTTTTTGGTAAGAACAGCTTTTGAAAAGAAGAATTTGGTGCCAACAGTTAAACATGTCATCAGCAGCATTATGATTTGGGGGTGCTTTGCTGCAGCTTGAACAGGCAAAATAGTATGCACTGATGGCACAATGGACTTGGCAAGAAATGAAGCAATTTTGAATGAATGAATGAGTTCAAAAGTTGTTTAAGTCAGGGCTAGATCTTCCAACAAGACTGATCCGATGCATCAAAGGAAATCTACAAAAGAATGGGTTCGAAAAAAAATAAATTCCAAGTCTTTGAATGGCCTAGTTAAAGTCCTGATCTAAATCCAGTATTAATTAATATCAAGCAATTGTGGGAGAAGGATCACAAATTGATACTCACTACTGCCAGAAATTTCTTAAAAATTATAGAAAAAGACTGGTCAACATCTGGACCTCAAAAGGAGAAGTCATCAAATATTAAATGTAAGAATTTGCTTACTTTTACACATTTTAAGTTTTATTTTTAATTAATATTTTTATTCCAACTTGATAAAAATTTTGAAAGTACTGTAATTCATTTAATAGAGGTTTTTTATGAATATATAGTTTACATGAATGATATGTTAATGTTTTTATATACCAGTACAATCTTATGAAAATCTATGACAACACGGGGAAAAATTTGGTGTGATGCATTTCATCCTTTAGAACTTCATTGGACTGAAGTGATGTCTTAAGTTAATTTCATTACACATGCACATGAAAGGGGGGGACACTGAAATTTGAAACGTGTTTAAATTTAAAATTTCAGCAGCATATCCTCTCCTTGATGCGCATGTGTGATCACGTCAACGTAAAAATCACATTAGCCCAACATATGCGTCATGAAAAATAATTTCCTTCTTTTATATGTGAGTAAAAACTAAAGGAAAAGGCTTTACCAACTGATGGCCTTTATCAAAACAAATGTAAGGATTTTATTTTGCAACATGTTTATAAACAAAAATAAAAATATTAGATTTTCAAAAAATTTAAGAATGCTGAAAAATTTTTTATTTATGAAAGTCAAGGTAGACTATGAATGATGCTAAGTGATGTAATTTAATTTAAATGAAAGTAAGTAAATGTTGTTGAGTTTTTTTTTTTTATTGTGTGTGTACACACACATATATATATATATATATATATATATATATATATATTTTTCTTTTGTCTTTATTCATATTGTCCTTTTATAGATATATTTTATTTATATCTGAATGTTTACACACACACAAGTTCTTTATAAATTGTCAATATTCCTGATACCTAAAATTGGCTGTAACTAAATTATTCTGAAGTGCTAAAAAAAGTAATTCTTTCTATTTTTATAGCCAAATCAGTGAGGAGCGTGATGTCCATCACAAGGTGCGGATGAAAAAGAAAAAACACAAAGAATCTCTTTCTGAAACGGATAATAAATCTCCTGATGTGCCAGAACCTGTCAGAGGACACAAGATGCACTCTCCACTGTTTGACAGTGGCAGCAGCAAAAGTAAACTGCCTCTTTCTCCAAAGCATGATTGGCAGAAGGACATCAAGCCTACTTGGGCACTCGAAGATGGGGAGTGTTACTCTGTCTCTACTAAGAAATCTCGTCGATCCCGTTCCCCCAGCTCTGGGGAAAAGAGTAGACGCAAAAAGAGCTTGTCACCCTCCTTAGAAAAACGTTCAAAACATTCACCTATGAATGTCCTCCCTCCTGAGAGAGACAGTGTTGTTGAAAAACTCAGTTCAAGGAAAAATAGAACTCGAGGAATCACGCCACCTGAGAAGGTGCCACCATTATCAACTAGCAAGGACAGATCTCTGTCTTCGGATGATGAGAGGTCTGCCCATTCTTCTATTCATGATGGTGAAAAGCGCAAAAATAAAAAAGGACGCTTCCCAGAAAGGATGCATGTCAGCCGAAGTAGTAAGTCAGGCAAGGGTGACGACCGGCTCTTGTACTCTGAAAGTTCAGAGTCCAGGCAGAATGAATGGAGAAATGAATCCCCACCCCCAAGGGAACGCCGGGAAAGAAGAAACCGGGACTTCACTCCTGAACGAACTTTAAAGGCCAGCCGAAGTGGCAGCCGGGAGCATGAGAAACTGGAAAGAGATTCTAAATTGTCTAAGAAGAAAGATGGGGTGAAGAATCTTGAGCCCTGTCCTGAGTCGAGGAGTGATCGAAAGCGGCAGTTCAAAGAGGACAGACTTTTGCCAGTGTGCAGTCCTGAATTGCAAGACCCAAACTATACAAAGCCTCGTCGCTTGCTCCCTGATCCCCCTGAGCCCCCCATTAACCCCACAAGGCGTGGTTTGTCTCCAAAAGATTCATACACTTCTTGTCATTCACGCTCACCATCTCGGCAAAGGAGGGGAGAGGGCCGAGATCGGTCTCCCTTTGATGTGTTACAGATGAGACGGAAAGACATGGTGAGTGAAGATTACAGACATGATGAACAACCTCCCACTGAGTCTCCCAGCCGTAATCGTCTCCTACCTGACAATAATTACTTCCCTGACAATTTTGACTATTCGCCAGGTCGGCAGTTCATTGAGCATCTCAATGAAGATAGACGTAACGAACGTTTCATGGGCTACCGCTCAGAGACCCGAGTGGAGTCAAGATACTCCCAACCAGCTGAACGGTATCCTTTTGAGGAACGAAGACGTTACAATGAAGAACCCATCCCCACTGGTTATGATGAAAGGACTCACTATGACAACTCGCGGAATCGGACTAATCGAGATCTGTATGAGCGTGATAGATACGAAAGAGTATCACAATCAAGTAGATCAGATCCACGATATGAAGAAGGTAACTGTTTACACTCATATACTGTATATTTTTGTGCATAATACGAGAAATTTTGGACAGAAGTTAAAGGCAAAGAGGGGGACATATACACAAGTACGCGTTTTTTGAAATTTTTATTCAACTTTAAAAAAAAAAACAAAAAAAAACACCCTTATTTGAAACAGCAAGCCTGCAAATACACTCAGCTCTGTCAAACCTGTGTATTTATATATTTCCTGTCTCAGTGGGAAGGGAGGTAAATCAACTATAAGTTAGTAAATTTATGAGTAATTACTTCCCTTAGTCATTTTAATAATCTATACATATAAATTTTTTATCTGCATTTAGACAAAATTAGTTCTAAAATAAAATGAACCATTTAATTAATCTGTTCTTTTACTCCTTATTTACAGTCTTATTTGTCCAAGACTTTCATGTGAGGCACTCAAATACCTTTATCTGTATAGTGACCATCTTGCTTCAACTTGGTCTTGAAATAGGCTTTGTTCTGATTCTAATCTTTTCCTACCAAGATATTTCCAATTCATTGTTATATTAAACTCAAAATTTTTAACATTTTTACACATGGCCAGTTGTATGTTGCATGGTCAAGAATAAGAAATCTTAAGAATTTATTCTTTGCTGTTAAAAATAAAAAAGTGAAAACAAGAAATTTTCTTAAAAAGTATTGTTTACCATGAAGTCCTATAAAATGAAATTAAAGAAATTATTAAACCACAAAATAGGGTTTTAGTCAAAATATTTTTTCCAAACAAATCAGCTTATTCAAATTTCATCGATTGGTTGAAATGTTAGTCATAACTTCAACTATACTGTGAAGATTTCAACATACATCAGTGTTTAAAAAAAAAAAAAAAAAAAATGAATAAAGGGAATAACCAAGATCTGTCATGTTTTGATAACATTGTTACAAGATCCTAACTATTGTATAAATGATGTACATTTTTGAGTTTTTCCACATAAAAAGTGGTGTGATAATTCTCATGATGTAAGGTTGTTGTTACATGTTCTTTGATTTGTTGACACAAAGTATCCAGTTTGAATAACTTCAAATGCTTCAAAAAAAATAAAACAATACAAAATAGATATGTAAACAACCTGTCAATTATATTGCTATATAAATAGTGTACACTGATACTTGTAATTTTAAATTGCAAAATATAATAATTTGCATGAACATAACATTGAAATTTTAATTGAAAATATGGTGCAACTTTTCCAAAACGGTTTACATAAAGATGGCTGTACTATGGGGCTGTGTTGTTCTCAAGGATATGATTGGTTCTCTGTTTTAGCTTCAGAAACACAGGTGGTTTGTATTATACTCAAGTCGTATTATACACAAGAAAATATAGTAAATTGTTTCTTTGTTGTTGTTGTTAAATACAGGTTGAAATTGTTTGCATGTATTTTGGGCCTTTCTCGCAAAGTTCTAACCTTGATAAGAATTTTTATTCACCAGCAACATTATTAAGAGAATCCATTACTTGTAAATGTTTTTTAATGCTGTTCTTTATACAATAACATGACAGAAAATATAAAATGAGACTTATTGATCAAATTATGAACAACTGCTAACTTATATTTGTATAGGTAGTGTAAAGGCAATTGGTGCTGAAAGTGGAATTTGTGAGTCTCATCTGTTGCATTCACTTTCATATTACATGATTTCTCACAAACACACAACGAAAGGAAAACTTTTTTCTTTACCAATGCATTTCATCCCCTGAGAGACCTTATCAAAGTGAAGAGGATGAAATACATTAGTAAAGAAAAATATATAAATAAAGACAAGACTTTTCTTTGCCAAAATATTTTGTCCCTTGAGGGACCTTTTCAAAGTAAAAGGGACAAAACATGTTAGTAAAGAAGTTTTTCCTTTTGTCTTTATTTATATTATCTTCACAGATATTTTTTTATTTAAAAAAAAATTATTGATATACAACTTCACTCTGTAAAATTAAACATAGAGTTATTAAATATTCATGAATTCTACCAATTCAGTTACATTGAAATGTCTTTCTTTTCTATTTATTAGACCCAAGCATACAAAAAAATTAAGCAAAGATTTAAAGCACCTCAAGTACTGATCAAAATCCCAAGTTGTTTATTTATGATTCAGGTTGCTTAAATTTTGCACATGAATTAGTACTCAAGTTGCTTAAATTAAAAAAAAAATGTACTTGAGAAAGGCATGAATCCATCTTGTCTACATCCAGCTATGGGTTAAATAGTAGACCGAGTCTTTTGGCTTTTGAGTCTAAGAAAAAGAAAACTGTGGCAGAGCTAAAAGGATGACACTTCATTATCTTTCCCAAGAATTCATGATAATTCACATATAAAAAGAATCTGTAGAGAGCCATATTTTCTTACATCTTGAAAAGACATGACATTTAAAAAAAAAAAAATCTTACATTTGTACAGACCTTTTCTAACAAACACTTATAAATAATGGATTTCTTAATTATGTTGTTAAGCAAACAATAATAACCAATGAAATTTGACAAGAATTTGTGGATCTGTTTTATGAATTTGTATATGTCCACTTTTTCTGAAATGCCGGCTGCAATCAGATAAATCATGCTATGTAGTCTAACTTTTCAGATAGAAACATAAGAATAACTGAATTCTTTTCTGAAAGAAGAAAATATTTAGTCAAGATTTTGTATTATAAGATAAAGAAAATAGTTGTAATGAATTTTGAAATGATGAAAAATTTTATCTCTTTGAATTGCATTTCTTTTTCCATTTTGAACTACACTCTGTCTGAAGTTATTAAGCAAATCATATAAAGTTCAATAATTCAAATTTGGTTTGAAAAAATTGTCAAATTTTAAACAATCAATTTAGATGTCAAAACAAAGCTTGAGTAAAAATTTTAGTATCAATGTCTTATTGAAGTTATTTGATGTATTCTAAAAAAAAAACTGCCGTCTGAAGTTATTAGGCAAAATCAAATAATCACATTTTACTTCAATAAAAGTTAATAAAATCATCAAAATTTGATCAACACTTATAATAGAACAAATAATAAACACATGATAAGTCTTTAAATCCTTTACATTTTAATATAGTGACTGTTCTTCTCAATAACAGCCAACAATCTATTCATTGATTTTGTTAATTATTTTTTATTTTATTTCAGCAGGTTCAATTTCTGACATGGTAGTTTTAATTGCTTCCCATACATTTGCTTTGCTGTTATATTGTTTGCCAACGTCATATAATTTCATCTTCACAACTTTTGATCAGATTCAGATCAGGACTTGATGGTGACCATGCCATTATCTCCTCTTCCCTGTAAATCTTTTACGCTCAATGATTTCATGGGTAAGCTTAGATACATGAGAAGTAGCATTGTCATGCATAAATACACACTTCACTTTGAAACTGCAAGACTGGGACTTGTACTATGCAAAGAAAGTCTTGTTCATAAAATCGCAGTAGCACTGTTCAGTTTAACTTGTTCATTGACCTTGAATGGTCCAATAATAGTTTGGTTGACAATTCCAGCCCATATCATAACACTACCACCTCCTTGTTGCCTTCTTTTAACCACAGGCACATCTGAATTAGATAAAATCCACCCTTTGGCCTATCCATCAGGTCCATCAAGAGTTGTCCATGAAAATTACTTTAGAAAATCAATTTTCATTTATTTCTTGGCCCAATTTTGATGTTTTAAAATATTTGATTTAGTGAAAGGAGTTCCCTTACGAGATTTTTTTTAACAGATCCCAATTCACAAACTATTCTATGCCTTTTGTTCTTTTTGACTCCTCAATTCCAACTTTCCAAAATTCTGAGCACTAGTTAAAAGTGGTTTTTCACTATAACTCGCTTTAGTTTATGTTCATCTCTATGAAATAAGTTCTTAAAGACTTTTCCTTTGCTCAGAGTTCTCAACTTGCATATGTTTTCAACAGCCTTCGTTATCGTTCAATGATCTCTGGGAAAGCTCCATTAATATCTCCAGTGTGGGCATTCCCTCACTCAGTAACTTTGATATTTTTGTTTTTCAGTAATTGTAGATCCTTCCCCTTTACCCCTGTTTCAACATATATTATTGACAAAAGAAAAATAGATTTTATTAGATTTCAGAAGTCTTAAGCTAATATTAGTTTAATCTGCATACTACCTTCAGTCAGTTCATTTTTGTAAATTCCAAATATCTCGGAAACTAATCATTAAAAATGACAAAAAATTTAATTAAATATCTTACTAAGGGTGGAAATGGATGAGTTTAAATTTGACAAATATTGGTTCAGAACTTTTTGAGTTCAATAATTTGATTTGCATAATAACTTCAGACAGGCTGTACTCTGACATCTGTTGACCAGCCTGGGTACTAAACAAAATGGTGGAACAGAATATAAATTTCTTGATATATGAAGATATGTCCCACCATACAGATATAAACCTTTCAAAATTCATCATGGCTATAAGTATTTAAAGCAGAGTTTTAATAAGACAGTGTTTTTAACACTGTTCAAATTACAGCTTCTAATTGTTGTTTTTATATAGCAAACTAAAATATAAGAAACGTGGATCAACTTGAAGTAACATTTCATAATTTTAGTTACAATTATTAAATGTGGTAACATTTTATTCAAAATTTTGGAAGATAAAGATTTTTATTTTTTTTTATTTTACAAATCACGCAATCTCCAAAGACCAGGTCTGTGTAGTTGAAGTCAAAAGCAAGTAAGGGGTCATTGGAGTCAATCAGTAAAACTATATGAACTCTGACTCCAGTTGAATTTACACTTTATGTAAAAAGTCTTATATTATAGAATTTTTATTTCTTCTACTGTATATTTACTATTTCCTTTAAAAAAATTAATCTCAATTTCTTTTTTAAAGTCATTTTATTTTTTTGTACTTATTTTGTATTTGCAAAACTATATATGTAAAAAAAAATCTTACATTATAGAATTTTTATTTTTGTTATGTCTTTTACATCCTGTAAAAGATTATATTTCAATTTCTGTTATAAAATGGTTTTATTTTTGTTCTGTACTTATTTCTTATTTGCAAATCTTACATTATAGCATTTTTATTTAGTTATTTCTTCTATATCCTTTCAAAGATTTTGTCTCTAATTCTGTTAGAAAATATTGAAGAATGAATAGCAATGATATAAAAGCTACAATATCTTTATTTGATATAAACCAGTTATAATGATATAGGCTTACTAAAGTTAGGAACATATGCATAGGCTTAATGAGATTTGTAGGCTATAATCGCTTAATTATATAAAGAGGAGTCAAAAGTTTTGTGTTCGGACTCCACAGCCATGCAAAAAAACTCATATTAATTAAATCTATATGATTATAAATTATTTCCCTATATAAAGTTCCATCTAAGTGAAAATCTGTGATAAAATCACTTTAAGAAAATAATGATGAAAAAGTTTTAACTCTTTGCTGCATTTCTTTTTTTTTCATTTTTAACTACTCTGCCATCTGTTGATCAACCTAGGTAGTAAACAAAATGATGAAACTGAATATAAGCATCTGTGCTCATAGATGTATGAAAATAAAAAGTGGTATTAAAAATGATCTGCTATGCTGATAACATTTCAAGTCGGATGGAATTTAACACTCAATACTTTAAGACTAACTTGAGTTATACATTTTTTTTTCTTTGAGAAGCAATACAATCTTTAAAAAAGCTATTGAAGAAAATTAGCAAATGCATCAGCTATCTTCAATTTTTTTTTTTAAGTCTTGCTGGTACGAAGTATAAGATAATAATTCTTTCATAGTGCTAACAGTACCAGGTTTGGTTTTGTTATTTCATATCATTTTTCAATAGATGTGTTTGAATGCATTTGTATATTCTGAAAGATAAGTCTTTCTGTATGATTCAAGTGTGGATTATGAAAATGAGAGGCATCTTTGTCTTCTCTAGAAAAGAAAAAAAAACACTGTACAAACAGCAAAAAAAGATATGTACCATCATTATCCTCATGATGCTCTTTCTCTTTAACTAATGCTGGGAACAGATGCTTTTCCTTGATTTTTTTTTTTTTTTCATAATCATTTCACCACAAGCAAGACGATAATGCCACTAGGATGCAGGGTGTTACAAGGAGTGAAAGAGAATGAGACTTTAGTGAGGAGATGTGAAGAAAGTACAATAAAGGTGCAGTGTTCAGAAAGACGAAAGATGGCGGTTGGCATTGCATTTAAATTTTTGGAGATCATAAGATAGCAGGGAAGCAAGAAATCAGAAGACTTCTGCAGTTGAGAAGTGCGAGTAAAGAAACTGTTAGAATAAAAGTGACTGTTGTATCTAGCTAGTTCAACAGTAAAACAGTGAGACCTAACTGCCAATCTAGTAGCACTCTTAAATTCATGTACTGCGATTGTCTCCATTTGATCTCATTCAGAGCTCATAGTAGAGATCAGCCTTCAAATTCTATCACTGCATCCTCTTTAGATGAATTGGGATATTTTGCATGTTAGCTATCTCCTTCATCATATCAAAGAGTGCTGAAAAGTTCTTGACCTATAGCTATGAAACATGCATGCTATTTAATATACTCACACGACAGTTCAATACATTTGTCTCTCTCATGTTTCTTTAACCTTTCTCAACAAAAAATAAAATTCTAATGTTTGATCATTTAAAAAAAATACTCTTCTACTACCTGAAACATTTGCAAATTTCCTCCTTTTCAAACATATTTTATGGTTTGGAAACAGAAAATTGATAAAGCAACATTTTCATATGGATGTCATGCATGATGCCAAACCTATTCAGAAATATCTAAACTGTCAATTGTATACAATCACCCTTTCTTTTCTTTTTTCTTTTGTTTTTAAGATCAGTAGTTAAAAATGGCTTTGATCAAGTGAAGTGTCTTTGTGAAGACCACACATCTTGAACTTTGTTATTCTGTAGCATCCCATAGAACTGTACCAAATAACAGAAACTACACCACTTGAAGACTTTCAATAGCAGCAACAGCTAAATTGGATAGCACATGTAACTTGAAGAGAAAATAATATAGATGTCAACATTCCACACTACTTCAAATAAGTTTACAAAGGAAACCTCAATCAATACTGGAAAGAGCAATAACAACTACTGAACTTGAGAAACCTATTTTATTAAAAAATGTAATAGAAAGATTTTCTAAATTCCACACAACAGTAGTACAAGCAACTTTAAAAATTAAAAGCACACACTTTCCAGCTACAATAACAGAATAAGTCATTTTTCAGGAAGCAGACTAGCCTGAAAACTGTTTTTGCTCAAGTAATGTCTTTGATTGCTATCAATTTCATTTGGTTTACTGATGCAGAACATTGCAAAACTTCACAAACTATTTTAGACATCTTGAAATATTTACCATATATTCTACAGAAAATGCACACATTTTTCATTGAATTTGAGTTGGAGTTTTTCTTGTAAAATAAAAACAATGTGCCAAAAATATTGATTATTTTCTTTCAGCTTTAATATTAAAATCAATAAAGAAATGTATTTGGATATTTTTTTTACTTTTTCTTCTTTTTTTTTCGTTTTTTTTCTTTTTCTTTTCTTTTTTTTTTTGCCTTTTTCTTTTTTTTGCCTTTTTGCCTTTTTCTTTTTTTTTTTTTTCGTCTTTTTCTTTTTTCTTTTTTTCCTTTTTTTTCTTTTTTTCCTTTTTTTTTCTTTTTTTTTTTTTTTTTTTTTTTTTTTTTTTTTTCCTTTTTTTTTCTTTTTTTCCTTTTTTTTTCTTTTTTTCCTTTTTTTTTCTTTTTTTCCTTTTTTTTTTTTTCCTTTTTTTTTTTTTCCTTTTTTTTCTTTTTTTCCTTTTTCTTTTTTCCTTTTTTCCTTTTTTCCTTTTTTCCTTTTTTTTTTTTTTTTTTTTCCTTGTTTTTCCTTTTTTTTATCCTTTTTTTTTTTTTTATCCTTTTTTTTTTTTTTATCCTTTTTTTTTTTTTTATCCTTGTTTTTATCCTTGTTTTTCTTTTTTTATCCTTGTTTTTCTTTTTTTATCCTTGTTTTTCTTTTTTTATCCTTGTTTTTCTTTTTTTATCCTTGTTTTTCTTTTTTTATCCTTGTTTTTCTTTTCCTTTTTACTTTTTTCCTTCTTTTTCCTTTTTTTCCTCCTTTTTACTTTTAAAAAAAGAATTTGTTTTCAAACTCTTTTTCTAATAGCAAAAACAGAACAAACTTTTTGTCAACTGAATAGAATGTCATAAATATTTAAGTTGGCCTTCTGGTCTTGCCAATTTAAATTTTAAATTCCAAACTGTTAAAATAAAAAAATCAGAACTTTTACATATGTAAAATTATTCAACATTCCCAAAATACCAAGATTGTGAAGCAGTACTTTTTATGAAAATTGAAATAGTGTATGTCAAGTTTGTATACCAATAATGGTTTTTTAGTGCGACTAAAATATTGGTAGGTACTGATCAACTTTAACATTAGTTGTTTATCTTTGTCCAAGCTGCCAAATTAATTTTTGTTTATTTTTTCCCTGTATTTTGGACAATTTTCCTGGTTTCTGACATTGGACAATTTATATTCAGATTTTCACTGAAAGTCACAAGAAGGTTTTTTATATATATATATATATATAATATGAATTGTTACATTAGAACATGTACTTACCCACTACAGAATTGTACATCTTGTTTCAACGTTTCCTCAGTCGGCTGGTAGATGAAAATCAATAAATAGACTGTTTAATAAATAAACGGAGTATCTACTCAAATTTGGGTATCAACTAAAAGTAATGTTTAAGTAATAAAATCTGTTTGACCGATAAATAAAAAATCAATTACTTTAGAAATTGCTTTGTTTACTTTAGTATATGAAACTGGGCAGATATGAATGTTTTGAGTCTGAGAAAGATTTGCGTTTATAAGGCACTATTCACCTTTGCTTGATTGGCAATGCACCAAGGGGTATACAGGTTCAAATCATGCTGAAGATAGCATGTTCTCCTTTAATAAATTTTCTCAAATATGACTATCCACTGAAAATAACATTTAAGTAATAACACATGTTAAGTAGAAGAACACTTACAGCTAAGTAACAGGATTTAACAATGCATTTACTGGGTTGCTTCCAGAGCTAGATCCAGACTGTAGAATGAGTTGGTAGATATTAATAGCATTGATTCCTTTACCTAGTTGCCCCTTAATAAATTATTGTTCCAGGCTTTGTTGTGTCAAAGGGACTGCCTGGGAACCCCAGGCAGTCCCTTTGACATAATTCTGGGTGTGTGTGTGTGTGTGTGTGTGTTTTCTTTTTTTTTTTTTTTTTTTGTCCAAATCCATGAACTTGTTTTGCTCGTGCTAAGTCTAAAAAAGACACTAAAATTCACTATCTTTTATCCATAATGTGTTAAAATTCTTCAACTTTTTAACAAGAAAAATCTCAAGTTGATGTTAAAAATTACTGCAAAACATTGTTGAATTTATTTAAGATGGAATGATCTATTATGGTGTGTCTCTAATTTATATTGAAATACATTGTATTTATTTTCAATTTTTCTAGCTCATTTGCTCACCTATAATTGCATATGATCCATTATTGTACATAATTAGGTTATAGTAAAAAAATTTATATTAATATTACTTTATGAAAACTGAGACTACATAAAGTGGTGGTGGGGCATATTAGAGATTCATGAGGGGGCTTGAGATTCTTGCACTGGCCCCGATAAAATTGAACCCATTTTTTTCTATTACTACTGATGTTACCGCAATGCTTTGAATCTATTTTTCAGTCTTTTTCAAGTGTATAATTTATATGGAAAGCAGCAATATGTATCAAAATTAATGAGAATTCATTATTTCCACTCTTAGGTTATGTGCTTTTTGTTGACAGTCATCCACAAGCACTGCTTTTTTTTTTTCTTTTTTCTTTTTTTTTGTTAAAAATGAATTGGTGGAAGAAATCAGCAGTAGTTTTCTTTCATCTTTACATTTAACTCCCTGCAGTATCAGTACCACTCAAGCTTCATGAATTTGCTTTTCTCTCTAGCTAAAGAGCCTCTTGTTTATGATCGCAACTTACCTCCAGATTACAGAGAGCCAACCACAGAGGTGTGGGAAATTCGGGGACGAGGAAGGGGTCGAGTGAACCCTCGAAGTCGCGGTAGGCAGTCAGAAGCTACTGGTAAGTTTTCCCAAATATGCTTTTTTGTTGTTTTGTTTTCCAGATAGATTCTATTCATAATTCCCTTATGAATCTTTATAGCACGAGAATGAAGTGTCTGTTTTCAATAGTCAGTAGACAACTTGAGATGTAGTTGAAGCTGACTTCTTGGATTTTAAAGATTTTTTCCAATATTTGGCTCTTTTTCAAAGAAAGGCATTCACACTAATTAACTATGATAATAGAAGTTTTGTGTATTTCTTTTTTGTTTATTTCTACCTTTACTTTCTTTTCTCTTTTTTTCCTTTCTCTGTTTCCCATTGTGATTAACTTTCATTTCTCTTTTCTTTTTCCTTTTCTTATTTTCTTTTTCCTTTTCTGCCCCCATTACACCCTAGCTTTTTTCCCTTTTCTCTTCCCTTCTGTCATTAACCCTCATTTCTCTTTTCTTTCTTTCTTTTTTTATTGCCTTTCCTCTTTTCCCATTCCATCCTAGCTTTCTTCTCTTTCTACTTTTCTTTTTCCTTTTGTCATTAACCCTCATTTCTTTTTTTTTTTTTTTTTTTTTTTTTTTTTTTTTTCATGTTTCTTTTCAATTTTTGTGTATAGAAGGCACAGTGGAGTAATGGATAGCATTTCGGTTTGAGGAATCAGAGAGCTGAGTTCGCATTCCAGTCGAATCCATTACATTCTCTTATGTGCTAATATTCTTGGGAAAGGTATGAATCCTCTTCTCCCCCCAGCTATGGGTAAATAGCAGGACAGACTGGATTCTATAGCTTTGGATGACAACCTACTGCAGAATAAAATCTGCCTTATCAGTCATGAATTGAAAGATACATGATCACCTAAGCGTGTATCACGCATGGCACATAACTGACTGTATACAATATTCTGTATACAAAAAATATTGACAAATTAGAAAGGAAAATTGACTTTCATCTTCAGAATCTGGAGATGAAATGGAAGTTCAAAAAATATACGTTCACATTTTATGTTCACTTTCAATGTTTGGGGTTTTGCTGTGACAAAACAATGTTTCTTTAGCCTCTAATTTAACTAGAATAGTAATTTAATTAAATGTCATTTTATTTTCTGTGTTAACTAAGCCTTTCATTTTCTTTGTACCTTTACTATTCTGAAATCTTTGAACACTCCTTTGTTTTGAAATTAGTTGGATATGTAAAACACCAGTTGTAAATTTTAAACTCATTAAGATATACAATACTCACTATATTAATTTGTTTATTGTTATGCTCACTTTGCTATGTTGAATAATTTTAATATATGCATAAACACATACAAAAGAGAAAATGTTGAAAACATCTACTGTAGCAGTAATGGGTGTGTCTGGGATATGATAGCTTGACAGGGCCCATCCCTCTTTTATTTTATATATATATATATATATATATATATGGGAGAGTGGAGGGGAGTAGTAATGGTAAAGTGTACCAAATAGCTGAATAGAATCATTGAAATAAAGTTAGTTCACATTTGTGTGTATATTTTTTTTTAAATTTTGCTAAATATGTCATATTTTCATTTGCACCTAGATGTGCCATTGCTTAAAAAGGTTGAGAAACTGAATTAGACTGATTTACTTTTTTCAAAAAAAATTTTTTTTTAAATTAAGGTGATTTTTATGAGCATGAATAAATTTTGTGACTTCTTATTGAATATATGTAATTAACCATCTGTCATATTAAGATATTGTTGTAGGGTTTATTATAAGTATGTAAATTAAGAGTTATTAGTCCTTTATTGTACAGAATGAATTATTAATGGCTCTATATACATCAAACATAGAATTGTATAGAGAGGCTATGTACTTGTTGTATAACAATATTCAAATGAATTTGTTTCTTATTTATTTTATTTATTGTTCTTGACAATGTAATTTGGAAATTGTTTGCAACATGTTTATTTCCAAATTGATCTGTGTTCCCATACCACCTGATCAACTCCATAATCTAGTTGTAAATTTTCTTTTTGTAGGCCACCGTGGACGTGGTTATGCCCCACCTCCTGAAGACAGACTGCCTGGTCTTGCTCGAGGTAGGTCTTAACATAATTCTCTTTATATTTGATAAGAAAGGTTTGGGCTCAGTTTTGGTGACTGCTCAGTCAAATTCCTCTTCAGAAACATGTTTACTCAATGTGCAATGATTGTAGTAATGACAATATATTAAGTGTAATGCTAATTTAGATAACTAAGATAAAATGCAATCTCAGATGGAGTAGGGATTTTATTTTACAGCTGAAACCTTCAAAAAAAAACACAATTGCTTTCAAATAGTTATGTTGTTTGTGTTTTAATGTTGATTTGACAGCTTGAAACAATAAGAACCATGACCAACTGGGTCAGCAATTTGTGTTCATATGGATACAAGGCTTATGGCTATATTATGTTAAAACACCGGTTCTCACTAATCAATGCCGAGCCTGGTCAGCACCTTGATGAGTGACCACTTGGAAATACTGGATGCTGTAAGCTTGGATGTGCAGGTGGTGTAATAGATAATGGCTTAGAATTGTTAACTGAAGAGCACAGTTCCAATTCCAGTTGGATTTGTTATATTCAATTACATGCAAATACCCATGGGAAAGGTATGGATCTGCCTCTTGCTCCTCAGCTATGGGTTAATTTGATTAGGAAGATTTGTATCACTAAACCATTATTATCTCAAAAAAAAAAAAAAATTCTTACAATCTAAAAATATTTTCTGGCTTTAAATAACCTGCAAAGGGTTGATAAGCTGTAGAAAATGAATCTATCGACAACTTCTTACCAAGAAAATTACCTCCCCAGCCCCTTCAAAATGGTTAAAGTATTAACTGAAAGTACTGGGGGGGGGTAATTTGTCCCCACACTCAGTCCTCACTAAAAGTGAAGAGTCAAATTTAGTCGGCCTGTGATCCTCTTTTTGCACAACAAAGGATTTAAAATTGTCATTATACTGACCATGCAAAATCCAACTAAAGCTATTGTTGTCAAGGGAAGTAACTCTAGTTTACTTCTAGTATACCAAAAATTGCATTAGTTTTGTTCATTCAGTAATATTAAATACATTAACAGATTGAATGATTATATCTATAAAACTCTAATCATGTATGTATGTGTGTTCCCAAGATACAGCTTAAACAATATATAATATCTCAATCAATTTAGGTGCATAATGTACTTTGAATCCCCTGCCAAGTGCATTGCCAAATATCATTAAAATTAGACATAGGGTTCTTGAGCGAGGGCTATTTTTCTGTTTTTATGGCATTTTGAATAGGAAATTCAATATTTGCTTTTGATACACATTGGTATATTAATCTGCATATATAAGTAAACACTTGCACATATGTTCCAACTATTATGTGTGTGAAAAATAAACATTCATACTACATTATAACAACATTATTAAATAAATTTAAATATGCATAACACAACATATATTTATTCAATTCATAACACTACAGTAGAACTTTTTTTATAAATAACTACTTGAAAGGTGAAGAGGGTATATGTGTTACATGACGATGTTAAATAAATAAATGGATGCTGCTGTTATGTATTTTGAAATAAATGCAAGGAAAAAACATGTATTTATAATAAAAAATATATACTTATTGAAAATGGCTATACCTGTTTTAAGCTATTACTCCAAATTTTCATACAATGTGTTGACTGTGAAGCCCAATGGAACAATAAACCATCTTTTACCACAAATTAATGTGTAATTAATAATAAATTTGATAATATTGTTCCCTCATCATTTTGTGTCATGAACTGCTATTAAAAAAGAAACAACGGGTTTATGGGGGATTTACTAGAAAATGAAATGCAAAATTGAGCTCTTTTCTTCTTTTTTTTTCTTTTTCTTTCTGATTCTTTGAGAAGTATAGTGCCAGAGTTTAAGGTAGAATAACATCTGCATCACTTAATGTTTTTCAGATCAATTTTCTGGTGTTGCAGAACGTCCAAGTCGTCGTTCTGAATGGGAACGCCATCAGGAGGAATACTTTGGTTCAGAGCATGTAGAATGGCCTGACCACCGCAATGAGCGAAATCTTCCTCCCTCACATGATGACCCTCGACAGGAACTTCATGACATTCCTGAGTTACGGAGAGGAAGGCGGCCTGATTCCAGGGATGAATGGAGGAACGGACGCCGAGATGCAGAAGATATGTACGAGAGGAGACCAGAAATGGGTACAGGTTTGCTTATGACTCCTGACCGGATGGAAATGCGGCCAGAGAGATGGGAAAATAGGCAGCCTACTGAGGCACCTCGCAGACCAGACCTGCACAAAAATGATAATAAGCATGATGACCGAATAGATAAGCGTAACTTGTCTCCAGGTGAGAAAGAACGATTAGATAGTCGCAGGTAAGTTTCTTTTATTATCAGTTCTTCTATTATTTGACCTTTGTATTGTGATACTCTTCTGATTTGAAGCTTATTGCATATTTCCAAGCACACCAGTCTGCTAAGGCAGCTAACCAAACCCTGTTCAACACCTGCAGAGCCCACCTATAGTTTATACTGTAACTTTGTTGAGCAGACCTTAGTTACAGTTTTCTGGGAGAGAGCACATAATCTGGCATGATAGTCAGTTTTGACAATGTCAGTGTGTTCAAACCCTCAGTCATGATGACTTTTGATTTTGTGCTAGCACTACCATCAATGACTTCAAAGCAGCTGTCTCACTCACAAAGCTTGGGTTTACCTGTGGTGTGGTTTTCAAGCACTTCAATGCTGGGATCACCTCCACAGACTGATAATACCAAGATGTTAGCTTCCTGACAAATTAACCCTGTTGAAATTCAAATCCTGGTCTCATGGTCAGAAAGTGAATGTTCTAACCACTCAGCTACATGCCCATTTATTATTTATTGCATAAGGTTGCACAATAAACTGACCTTGTGTCACACCCTGCTAACATGGGGCAGCAACAAAATGTAATCAGTTCTCAGCTTTTTGGCTAAGATCAATGTGTAGTATCTGTTCTTATCAGCTTGATCTGATTCTCTCTCTTCTCATTTTCTGAGTGAAACCAAGCAGTGTCTTTTCCCCTCTTTCCACATGATCAAAATGGAATAGTCCATTATAAATTATTGGCAGGAGTGTGCAATGGTCATGCAAAGTAATGAAGGGAGGGACAACCACAATTATAATAGAATAATAGTCATGACTTACAAGAGAAGATTGAAAGATAAGGAGAAAGTATAGGAAATCTACTAAAAGACCATTATCGAGCTTGGTTGACTTTTGAGCCTACTACTTTCATGCTTTACTTATGTCGTAAGAAGCACTCAAAAACTTCCGTTTTTACTTTTTTTTCCTACTTTTCAAGGGACCTTTTTTTCTTTTTAATATTTCACCACAAGCATTGTGATAATGCCACTAAGAGTGAAAGAAATTGAGAAAATGTTAGTGAGGAAACAGATCAATAAAAGAACAGATAGATGGCGATTGATGTTGCATTTAAATTTTTGAAGATCATAGTTGACAGGAAAGCAAGAAGCCAAAAGAGTTCCACATATGAGAAGTGTAAAAGACACTATTAGAATAGATCTTAAGGTTACATCTAACTATTATGACAGTAAAATGAAACTTAGTTGTTAATCTAGTACTGTGCTTAAATTCATGAAGTCAAGAGACAAAAGAGAAAAGCTCATTAAAACAATTGCCATGAAAATATAGAAAAGATGTAGGTAAGCTACATTACGGTGATGGGAAAGTGACTGACATTCAGATAACTGGTCAGGATCAATAACTTTACAGATTATTCTTTGGATTTTGTCGAATTTTGAGATATATAGCAGAAGCACCAGACCTTATATTACCAGAGTTGTGGAGTCGGAACACAAAACCTTTGACTGCTCTATTTTTGGCACCTCCAACTCCTCTTTATATGATTAAGTAATTATGACCTACAAATCTCATTAAGCCTATGCATATGTTTCTAACTTGATTAGGCCTATATCATTATAACTGGTTTATATCAAAGAATAAAGATATTGTGGTTTTTATATCATTTCTATTCATTCTTCAATATTTTCTAACAGAATTAGAGACAAAATCTTTGAAAGGAATTATTTGCAGAATATATATATATATATATATATATATATATATACGTGTGTGTGTGTACAGAACAAAAATAAAACTACTTTATAACAGAAATTGAAATATAATCTTTTACAGGAAGTAAAAGACATAACAAAAATAAAAATTCTATAATGTAAGTTTTTTTTACATATATAGTTTTGCAAATACAAAATAACTACAAAAAATAAAATGACTTTAAAACGAAATTGAGATGAATTTCTTTAAAGAAAATAGTAAAAATACCGTAGAAGAAATAAAAATAAAAATTCTATAATGTAAGACTTTTTATATAAAGTGTAAATTCAACTGGAGTTGCAATCAGTATAGTTTTACCGACTCCAGGGACCTCTTAATTGATTCCAACTCCGACTCCACAGCCCTGGATATGACAGCAATATTCAATGCATGGAAAAATGGTAAATTTATAAACATGCTAGATGAATTCTGTCCAGAAAAATTGTCTGGCATGACACAGTGAACCAACTTTCCTAGCAACAGACCTAGCAAATAGATTCAATGTAATCGTTCCACTTCATGTCAGAAGGTGCAATGAGTTGCTCTCCTGGAGGTTGACATCAGCCCTACTGATAAAAGATAAAAATGGCTCTCTCTAAGATGACTAAAAGATAGCAGTTTAATTTTGGAGGTGTTAAAATTTACAAGCCATTTCTTACCCCAGTTAATATCAGATGAAAGATAATTTTCAAGATCTGCTGTCAGTTTTACTTTATCGAACCTATCGGACTTATTATTAAGACAGAATTAAATAGTTGTCATCTGCATAGATACAGATTTGAGGAACTGATGTCATCAGGAAGGTCTCTGATATGAAGACAAGAAACAAAGTAGGTCCAAAGATAGAGCACTGGGGGTCTCTCTTGCATTAATGTGAAAGGATGTAGAAGAGTAGTTGTTCAGCACAATTTTCATTACACAATTTGTTAAGAAAGATTGAATCAAATCAAAAATTCATCTGGAGACACCATAACCTTTTAGCTTAGGAAGAGGACCAGCATGCTAAACTCTGTCAAACACCTTTGAAATATCTAAAACCACATCCCAAGTTTCTCTGTTCTTATCTAAACCATGACAAACTTTTTCAGTAATAACCACTAAGCCATATTGTCTGTCTGAAAGAAGACTGTCAAGTGAGATGCTTAACCAATTCAGAGTTGATTAGGGGCTCTAATACTTCACCCAGAAAAAGGTAAAATAATTCAAAGGATCAGACCAAGATTCACCCAAATTCCAAGTTCAGGCTACTCCTAGTGAGTTGAGACCTGTCAAGATTTTCTCACCACTGTTGAATATAGGGCATCATTGATGCAGACAGACTTTTTTTTCAATAATCAATCTCAATATCAAAATAGATTTCTTTCCTTTGTTGCTCTTAGCATAAAACTACATGTCGACCCAAATCTGTCTCTCGCTGTGACTGGCCTTTTTCCAATTATTAGTTAATCTCTTTAATCCTCCCTTTTGAACCCTAAATAATATCCATCTCTGCCCACATATCCTTTGTTGGTCTTTTCCTATCATCCATACTCCAGGATCAAATTTTCATGTTGGAAAATGGCATAGGAAAAAACTGAACCTTTTTTTTCTTTTTTTTTTCATATGAACTACAAGCCCTTTTTCCTCGTATGTCCAAGAAATCCCAACTGTCTTTTTCTGATCCTAAGTCTTACTTTTAAGTTTTGAGAGTAAACAAAACAAAACTCAACTAAAATTTATAGGGTAGAAAGTAAACTTATGTCATTATCAAATATCCTGTCTTACCATCTGGCTAAATATTTTCATCTTGAAAGTCAAGGAAGATGATAGCAAATTAATCCCAATTTAAACTTTTTCAAAACCAAAAGGCAAATAACCTCTCTAATTTACATAAAAGTAATACTAAGCTATAGAAGTTAAATGCATTTTAAGAAAAAGAACCATAATGCTTGAAAAATATATACATTCCTGAAGTTCAAAGTTTTTGGTTTTTTTTTTTTTGTTTTTCTCCAGGAAACGTCCACGTGACCAAGACCCAGAACAATCCCGTTCAAGATCCCCGTCACTGAAACACCATCGAGAAAACTCACCAGTAGACTCTTTCCATAGCCATAGCAGTATGAGTGACCACAGGGCAGATGGTGTTGGTCGAGAATGGATGCAAAATCGTTGGCCTCCGCCACAGTCTGACCCTCTTGGTTTAAGAGAGAAGGAGGGCTGTGGGGATGGGGGCCAGTGGCCTGGAATTAGGCAAAGGTCACCACTTCAAAAACACTTATTAGATAAGAAACGAAACAAAGAATGGGAGAACAATCGAGCAGCTCGAGAGAAAGAACTTATGGAGAAAGATGCTGATCGACTGAAAGGAAAAGATAGAGACAAACTCAAAGACCGACTTGAACCTGATAATCAGGTGAGTTATTTGGAAAGTTATAATTGATTGATTTGTTTTTATTGGTTTTTTGTTTGTTTTTTTTGGGCGGGGGTTAGCTTATCAACCCTTCATGGCATATTTAAAGCTGAAACATACAGGGGGATGCAAAAGTAGATATACAGTTATGAAAAACAAAACGTGCACACAAAACATATTGTATTGACTATACAAACACTTATTAATAATAACATCAATAACCTTAAATGTGCAAACTTTTTGCCTCCATCATTCACACAATCCTCTTTACCTGCAAAACATTTATTATTATTTATTAAAAAATTAAAAATTATATTAAATGTATTATAATAAAAATTATGAAAATAAAAACATTAAAAATGATTTTAATGAACTCTAGTATTTTAATACTGGTATAATACTTGCTGTATACCTACTTTTGCAGCCCCCTGTATGTTGAATTATAAGAATAATTTTTTTTTTATTTTTGTTTATTTATTTGTTTTTGAGTTAATATTACAAGTTCTACTATTTAATCTATAGTTTCAGGAGGGAGTTGATTCATAACTTTCCCAACAATATTTGCATGTAGTTAAATGTAACACACTTGACTGGGATTTGAACTCTGCTCTCTGATTTCTCATTCTGAGTTGCTATCCATTACATCATCTGCACATCCTAGCAAGTTATAAGACCAGCATTAAAAACGTATAACTTCATTATACTGAGGCTGTTGTAAAAACAAACCTTTCGCCAGAAAATGACCTGAAGTCAGTCATTGTTCTGAGGCCAAATTATCACTAACCATGGCACCTTGACAGTACCTAAAATTACCACCAGACTTTGATGATCTTCCATCACAATGTAGGAATGCCAGGTGAAAATTTAGCCTCTTCATATATTTACCTCTTGCATTCTCACCTTTCCAGTTGGGCATTCATGTGCCCAGAAATGAAATGTTAATTTGATGATATGAAATTGAGTTAACTGCCCAGTTGTCGATGTCAAGATTCTATTAAATGTATAACATTACTTCCTTATTAAAAAGATAATTTCTTATAAGGAAATTGGTTCAAGCTGTTGTGCTTATTTGAAAAACAAATTGTACATAAAAAGAAATACACAAATAACTAACATTTCAAAAACAAAACTACATTTGGATTTTATTAAAATTCTATCATTACATTTTGTTTATTTCCCTTGTTTGTATATCTATATTGATTTTCTAAGTGTAGTTTAGATATGACACAATGCCAAACGTATGGGTACCCAGTGAGGATCAAATTCACTATTCGGTCGTAGCTGTTTTAGTGAGACAGTCTTGCTAACCATTACACCACACCAAGATGCCCAAGTTTATATATCTATATAAGGCAAACTGAACTCATTAACCTTGCTAGGGCAATTATTCCATAAGGGAACAATTATGAATACAAAACAGCCTGAAGAGTGATGGGCTCTGTCTGGCTATATTGTACTAGATACACCCATTATTGCTACAGCTGCAGTACATGTGATCCTCCTGTGTTTCTGATAAGTTGTGGAGCTTGTGATCATGATTTCCTCAACAGCGTTTGATGCTGGCATCCAGGTGAAAACTTTTAAAATTTTTACTTATTATTATTATCATTAGATTTGTGCAACACAAGCCTCCTATACTCCATATGGCCTTATGTCATACTATACTAAACTTAGTAAATATCATTACAACTTTGGTGCTATGTTTATATTTCATACAGCAGTTATACAAAAGGGTTTAATAATGATCATCTCAAAGATGCCTTAACATAAAAGTTTAGTAATGACTCTTATTGTATGAAACCTTCAGAACATCACTAGGTCAATTGTTAGCTTTACTTGGTTCTACCTATCTTCTATCCATTTCTTGAGACTTTACCAGTAACAGAATAATCCTTGACTTGTCTGTTTTAGCTTTATTTTATCAATAACTGTGGCATGCCAGTAAGAAGAATCCTGTCAAGACATTTGGGAATGGAACAAAGCACAAAGGGGAAATGGAGGTATTTGTGTTAAATGAAGATATACAATCTGAAGTAGGATTTAGGATATCACCATACACTCTTCTATTCAGTTAATCTTTGTTCATTAACCTTTTCATGCATTTGTACCTGTATCTATTGAGGACTTCTGTTCCTCATTTTTTTTTATTTTATTTTTTTTTTTTTTTTATTAATGAACCTCTTTTCCTGATCTGTTTTCCAGTTGCTGTACCCTGATGGCCGAATGTTAATGAATAGAAAAAATCGTCCAAAGAAAAAAGAGAAAAGAAAACGTTCTCTTTCCAAGTCACCTTCACTAGATGGCAAAGATAGAAAACGTGTCTGTCGGGGAATGTCTCCCAAAGGTTAGTATACTTATCTTTTATTTATATTTAAGTGCAATACGGTTTTTAGTTTGCATTAACAATTAAAAATAAAGATGTCGGAACAAAAAGAAAAAGTTTATGTACACTGCAAACAAAGACTTTTAGCTTTCATGCCGAACATATCAATCATTTTTGTTTTATATTGATGTTACATCCTGAATGTTTTTTTTTTTTTTTTTTTTTTTTTTTTCCTCTCTCTCTCTCCCTCCATGAGGTGTTTTTTAAATATGTGTTTTATATAAGGATCAGGTCATGACGATAAAGACAAAATGCTACAACCTCCCCAGCAGAGACAGGAACTGGCCTTCAGTGATTGGTCTGACGATGAGTCTGCAGATGATATTTTGAACCGACCTGAGGAACCCCAAGTAAGATTTCATTTCTATTCCTTTAACGGATGTCACTTCCAACCCCCCAAAAATAGAAAGAAATCATATAATTCTGCACGTACCTTATGTCTTGTCAATACGTTATACATAGTGAACTATTACATCATTGAGGAAATCAGATAAAACATATCAGAGATGCTGATTTGCTTCAATGAGAAGAAGAAAGAAGATAGAGGAGACAATAACACTTATGTATTTAATGGCTGCTTCAATGGAAATGGAAAAACTTGTCAATTTCAAATCTTTTATTATTACTCTTTTACTTTTATTAACAACCAACATTCATACTTATAATTCTGATTACAATATTTTGTCAAATATTTAACAATGCAATAGGGGAAGTTCCACGTATATTCTATAGTTGTGGAATTCACAAAGAGCTTATTCGATCATTAAGAATCATGGTTCATCAGAAAATTCAAATAGCAAAAACTATGAAATTTTCATGATACTATTAGTGCTTTTAATTTATTTTCTTCCTTCATTATAACTAATATTCAAGAGTTGACCATTTCTTAACTTTTTTTTTTTTTAAATATGTCCCATATTTGCTTACATAAATTGTAATTTGTTATTTTTTTCATGTAAAAATAAATAAATAAAATGAATATATTTTAATTTAATGTATAATGCAATCCTCTAAGAATTAAATCTATTAGTTTTCACTTATCATAATTTATCATTTTATAGTTAAGACAATTTTAAAAGCCAAAAGTAATCACTGATTTTGCAGGAGTGGCCATTTAAAAGAATTATATTAACATCCTGAATCCTTCTAGTCAAGCAAAAATAGCTATGTGCAGGTTGACTATTTGTGAGGAACCATTTTACAGTTGGGCCACTCTATATAGCAGTTACTTTGCCGATACAAGTTTATTTGGCTTGTTTTGTTATATATCAGCCTATTGGATCATTTAACTGATACAAATAAATAAAACTATCAAAATAATATTATTACATATAATGCACCTTCCCACTTTGACCTTTTGATTCTGATTTTTTTTTTTTTTTTTTTTTTGCATTGCACATGAATAAGTGCTATAAATTTATCATACCCACCCCCTACCAACATTATATTTTGATTTTAAAGTCATATTTGTATTCAATCTTCCTATGAAGTCCATGAAACAATTTCTTAAAAATAACTTTTTAAAGTACTTTCAACTCCACAAGTATTGATTTCTGTCTGGATTTGTCTGATGAGGAGTTTTCATCATTTTCATTCAGACTAATGTCCTCATCTTTGTTGTTGTTGTTATGCCGTTTCATACATTGTGCCTTCCAGCATTCTTCAGGTGTCTCTGGGGAGAGAAAGAGAGAGAGAGGGATATTTCATCTTAGTACTTTTTAGTACTTTCCATTTATTGTTTGCTTTGTTTCTGAGACTTTACTAGCAACAACAGCAGTAAAAAAAAAAAAAAATTTAAAAGAGAGAAAAAAGTGGCAATGAAGGCAGTCAAGCTTAATGCTCTGGGTTCTATGTTCAGCTTGGTATATTAAAGTGTTGGTTTGTGAATTTGATGCTATAGTAATTATAAGTTCACTAAGACTCTCAATTACTGTGTTACTGACAGACTCAGTGGAAACAGGGTGAGCAATAACTAAGCAGTACTAAAAAGTACTAGAAGAAATATCCCTAGGCATGGACAGGGGGATGAGAACAATCTATCCAAAAAAAATTAAATAAAGTGTTCAATTCAGGATTTCCTGAAGGTTACTTTGATCAACAAATACTCAGAGAAGGATAGAAGTCACAGCATCCAAAACATTTTGATAGCAACAAAGATGAGGGCTTGTCAATTTATTATTGATAATTACTGATCTCAGAAATATTAAATTATTAAAAGCTGTATAAACCTGCCAAATGTTGAAAACCAACTGACATTGAATATAAAAGCTTAAAAAATACACTATTTCAGGACGCTGGTGTAGTGGATATAGGAGTTGGTTTTATATGTATTAATGTCATATAGTGAGTTCAATCCCTGGATCAGGTAGTGAAACACTGGTTCAATAGGGACAAACAATTGGCATCGCCGAATAATATGATAATTAACAGACATCATATATCAGCCAAACGATAGGCATCTGATGATGATCAGAGAGTACTTGCCCGAAACATTGTGTCTATAATAACATCTATATTAACCAATATGAGAACAATTGTTCAAAATAATAAAAGTATAAAGATATTAGTTTCAATGTAAATAATGTAAACAGAAATGTTAAACATAAAATTTATTTAATTTTACTATTTGTTTTCCAGTTTACAAATGCTACCTAAAAAGATCTTTAGTATATATTAGTTTGCAATTGCCTTAGAATTACTATTGTATACCTGTCCATTTTATTCAACTTAAGAATCGTGTTTGTGTCTTAATTTCCAGGAGCTAGTCGTCCCACTTATAGAGCCACATATCAAAGAGGACCGATTCAAACACAGTCCAGGTCGGGGAAGCTTCATGAATCAACCAATTCGACAGTTACACAATCCAAAGGAAGAGTATCGAATGTGGCAGCCACACAAGGAGAGGAATAGCCGCTACCATTGGGAGAAGCCTAACCTCTCAACACAACCTCGTCTGCCATTGGGGCGGGCTCTCCTAGAGCGGCACCACAAAGATATGGTTCCTGATATGTGGTAAGTCAAGTTTCACTTTCATGAAGCACTTTTTTTTTTTTTTTACTTTCTTTAAATTTTCATGGTTGAAGCAAATCTTTCGAATAAAAGTTTGCCTCGACTATGAACCCAAAATAATTTTATGAAATTAATTTTATTTTTTAGGAGGAGGTATTTATTTTTACTTTCATAAAATAATGGCAATGTAGTAGACACCATTCAAATTTGATCTTCAAAGATTTAACTACAATATCAATCGTTATCTTCTCTCTTAATTTGTCTTCTTTTATTGTCCTCTCTCCTTAATGGTAGTCTTTCTCATATTCTCTAATACTCAGTTCCCCTTGTGTCCTAGTGGCTTTATTGCCTTGCTTGGGGTGAAATGATTTTTTTTTTTTTTTTGATATTGTTACACCAATTTCCATTTTTGTTGTCTTTATCATGTTTTGGTTACTGTACTCCAAGGCTTTTGTCTGAGCACACCAATTGCTGCTATGGTTGCAGTACACATGGTCTCCTTACAACCCTGATAGGTTACAGGAATAGTGATTGTAAATTGGATTAGAATGTAAAATAGTTGTATTGATAAGATAATGCATTTGCCAGTTATTATTTATAAAATGTGCAACATTTTTTAGTTAAAAAAAAAAAATTCATGTATTTTTTTTTTTTTTTTTTTTTTTATTTATTTATTTATTTATTTTTTTTTTTTAACCAGTTTCCGAATGAAGCCTGACCATTTGCCTCGGTTGCTCCCTGACCCAGAACCGATGTCTGATCTCCGTCCTCCAATGGATTCCTCTAATCATGGCAATGTAGTAGACATCATGCCTGTAATAAAACAGCCCCTGCTGGGAGATGCACCAGGTTGTGTACCCCTACATAGCCTGGCCAACATGCCTATGCCCACCCCACCTATCAATCCCATGTTGTTGCAGAACCTACTGACAATGCCTCACAACATGGGCCACCCTATTCCCATGAATACACTTGCCCCACCCATGCCCCCTGTGAACCCAGCCACTTTTGCTGCAGCCGCCGCTGTTGCTGTAGCAGCTGCTTCCTCTAATACAACAACCACTATTTCAACTACACCAACTGCTACAACCACTACAGCTACAACTCCAGCACCAACCAGTGTGACTACATCAACAACTCGTAATAATTCTGATATCAGTAAGTTATCTTAAATTCATGTTTTTTTTTCTCTTTCTCTCTCAACCTTTATGTTGATTCTCTTACATGATATTTTCTTTTCAATATTTTATATTTCAAGTTCCTACAATTTTCATTTGACCTACCCCATCTAGGGAAACAGGAAAAAAAATAAACCATCTGTCTGCATCACATGCTGCTCATACTCATATTCCCATAGACTCCCTTAGGGCCACAGCTCTCAGCAGACTAGGCATTGCTACTGTGGTTTCCATAAGTATAAGTAGTAGGTTTTTATGGAATGGAATTGATAGCCCATACCAAACCAGTTTTTAATTCAGAGTTGTCCTTCTCCTTTACCAACCATAGCTAAAGAGTCTAGCCTGTCTTACTATTTAGCCCATAGCTGGGTGGAAATGAGATGGATTCATGCTTTTCCATGGGTATTTGCACATAAGTGAATGAACTCTACTGAAATTTGAACTTGGCTCTCCAATTTCTCATTCCAGGCCACTATCCATTACACCACCTGCACATCCTACATATCCAAAAGAGACCACAAAATAAGAGTTTTGATCATGAAAATTCTTATATGTAACATTTTGTCACTGCAAAATGAAAATGCCTCTTCATGACACTTAACCTGTTTTTAAAATATATTTGGAGGCATCTGTTTTGTGTAATATTTATAGCAAAACATTTTGCTTGCTATATCAATACGAAAGAAAGGATTTTTGGCATTTGATGACACATGTGGGTATTGAAATATTCGTAAATAGCATTTCAGATTCATTATTGGCAGTCACAATCTTAACAAGATATTCAGATGATGCAGTGTTGATCGCAGACATGAAAAGAAAATTACAAAAAACTCCTACATAAGGTAATGAAGGAAAGTGAGAAGAAAGGATTAAACATCAACTGCAAGAAGACAGAATTCATGGGCATTAACAATTTCCAATATCACCCACTCAATGGACACCTGATGATGACCAGAGAGTACTTGATCGAAACATTGTCTATAATAACATCTATATCAACCAAAATGAGAACAATAGTTCAAAATAATACAAGGATAATGTAAACTAAAAGTTAAGTCTTTCCAGCCAGTAGCAAATGTTTTAAAAACCCCACATAATAAAAGCAGTATTCATGTTTGATTTGTGCTTGACAATGAACTTTTCCCCAGGCATAGTTTAAAGCATTGAAATTGAATAAATGTTATAAAGTGCAGTTCACCTTGTTAAATGACACTAACATTTATTATTTTCATCCTAGCAGATTAATTTATTTTCCAAAATTTTTATTAGATGAAGTAATGTCAGCCATTATTGATTTTAATTTGTATTTATTTCATCTAAATTTTAATTGCTTTTTATTACAACTGCTCAAACTCTTAGAAAGAATAAAATCTTGTAATTCTAGCAGATAATTTATTATTAAAACATATTTCAGAAAGCTTTTGTAATCTTTGATCACTCTTGAGAATTAATTGAAACAGTGACTAAGCTACATTGTATACATTATAAATTCAAGTTCATGGAAAAAAATTTGATTGAATTGAGTTTGCGAGATATGCGTAAGCTAAAAGCATAAGAATTGCTTAAAGAAAAAAAGAAATGTTATTTCCAAACCAGAGTAGAAAAGAAAAAAAAAGAAAAAATACTCATGTTTTTTTTTTGTATTTTCCATTGAAGTAGGGAAGTGTCTATGCTGGGTGAAGCTGTGCTGTATCAACTCTATTAAAGACATTTTTGGTACTTGCTATTATCATTTTTTCAGCTCCCCATCTTTGGTTAAATTTAACAATAAATTATCTGTTGGAATTAGGTTTTTATTCTTTTTAATTCAACTTCACCAAGTATTTTTACAATTATACTCAAACTCTTATTGTCATTAGACATGGCTAGAGATTTATTTCCAATCCATACTGTTTGCTCATGGCCAAAGAACATTTTAAATAGTTGCAATGAAAAGTTAAATTAAGATGAAAGAATCAAAAACTGATTATAAATGGTTACTTTTTGTGAAATCCAAGACACCATTTTCTTTGTTCAGATAATGATTATTCTTTAGAATATGTTGTTACAATGAGATTTTTTTTTTTCTGACAGGTTTAATTCTTCAAATTCTTATTTATATCTTTTCAAGATGAACTCTTTCAGACAACACTTCAAAGAGTTTTTATGATTATCTATCATCATGTAAGCAACATAATAGAGAATGTTATACAGAAATTAAACATGCTGACAATATGTAGTTAATATGAGCGGGTGGGTTTTTATATATATATATATATATATATATATATATATATATATACACAGTTAATTTTGTATGATTTTGTAATTGTAACTATTATTAATGCCTAATTTATATTGTGAAATGGCCACCATTATTATTTTTCACTGGATTTACAAGGGGTGATGCTGAAAATTTCTAGCTTTCTAACATTGGACCAAATAAATAAACACCAGTTTTTTTATCTACAAATGCTTGTGGTTGATACTTTTGATTGCTTTATTTTATTCAACTACTAGAAGTAGAGGCTGGCGTTGCCCGGGGATGTAACAGTAAGAGATAGATCAAGTATCAACCATCATAAAGACTGAAAAATAAAATTGACAAAGATTATTGTTTAAGGTGACGGACACGCATGTCTTAATTAGTTTTTTTTTTTTTTTTTTTTTTTACAAATTGGTCGAACCCAAACTCAAAAAAAAACATTGTTTTCAATCGTTATGAGTCTACCGATTGAATAGAATTTTATTATAATTGTTTTGTAAATGGAATTTTTAAAGCATTCTGAATGTAAAAATAAAGAAATAATGTGCAAGACAATAAGAAACACTACCTGCCAAAAAAAAAAGTGAAGTTTTGTTGAAATCAGTTGAAAAATGTAGGAAATCCGATCCCATATATAAACGAACACGCATACGCGCACACAAACAACCTGGGTTTTATAATAAGTATAACTCGATATGAGTTGTCCCCCTTTCATTTTCGTGATGCCTGTTAATTGTGTTTTCAAATTGATTTCGTGCAAAACAATTGTGTTTTTCCAATTTTTGGCGCTGTTAGAACCACCGCAAGGTAATTTTACGTAGTCTTGTGAAGTTCTGTTGAAATCAGTTGAAAAATGTAGGAAATCCGATCCAATATATAAACGTACAGACACACACACACACACACACACACACAATCTGCATTTTATAATAAGTAAGATAAAAAGAAAAGAAAAGCAACAATACATTCCTTTGTCTTCTAGTTTTAAGAACTTAACAAAACAAGCTTCCATCATGATTTTGTCAGCACAAGTTAAGACAACCAGTATTATATATAGTATGTAACTTATCATTCATTATATTTATATTTTGACAAAACAATACCTGGTTCTTTCTCAGAGTTGATATGCAATTGGTGTAATAGATAGAAATTGTGAGCAGAGTTCAAATTCCAATTGGGTTCATTACATTCACTTACACAGAAATAAACTTTGGAAAGGTATGCATCCATCTCCTCCCCCAGCTATGGGTTGAACAGTAGAGCATATTTCTGGAAAAAAATCATTGTTATTATCAAAAAATTTTAATACAATATTCACTAAGTAAAAAAAAAAAAAAAAGATTTATTCTTAGAATCCAGAATGTGTTTTGGCTTTAAATAACCTACAAGTGGTTGGTGGTAAGTTGTAAAATACAATCAACAACTTTTTCAAAAGATAATTTGTTTTTTAAATTTCTATTTGAGATTTATTCAATAATAGAGATAATATTTGTAATAATTGCTAAAAAAAAAAAAAAAAAAAAATAACCAATTGTTTTTATTTGGTTTTTAAACCGATGGTGTTATTTTCCTCTTTTTTTTTTTTTTTTTTTTTAATGAAAATAGCATAAATCAGTGGGGATGCTTCTCATCAGTAATAATAAAGTTGGCCCATTTTATATATGCGAAGGATTGGGGGTGGGGAATGAATTAATTATTCAGCTCTTCAATTGATATTTAATTTTGTTATTGAGAAAATGTTTTGATTATTTAAATTTTTTTTTGCCTTTTTTTTTTTTTTTTTTTAAAGAAAGAAGAAAGCTTTAAATCTGAAAATATTTTGTTATAACTTAATAGTCGTTATTACCAAATGGAAAGTTTTAACAGTAGGAAACTTAAATGATGAATTTAAAGGTTACTTCTTTTACTATCTACTCAAGTAAGACAAAAATCTCACTACTATTTCAGATCAGTTCAACTACCTCCACTAGTATATATAATGCTAATGAATTGTAAACTGTACACTTGTCCTTTATGTTTGAAAGTCTAGTCATATTGGTTTGCACATTTTTTGAATATGAAGTTTTTTTTTTTTTTATCAAATTGCAAATAAATGGGACACATTATGCACATTCTTTGAATATTCATTGGGATTATGAACTTTGAGATCAAGGTCAGTGTTAGAACATCACACTGAAGACCACCAAAGCTAAGTTTTCATCCTGTTTTGATTAATCCTCATCATATTTGTTACCTAGAAGCAAAACTTCAAATCAGAACAAAAATCAAAAAAAGTGATGCATCTTGGATTCTAAATGAGAGTGCAATATATATATATATATATAGTATATATTAAAATATTTGCTTAAATTTGATTTTTCTGAAATTCATTAGTCAAATGCTATTTTGATAAAATCTTTGCACATGTTTATCGGGTGTTTAAACACCACTTAAAGTGCAGCTCTTGTCTTCATTGTCAGCTGTTACTGTTTTCACTATTATTTATTCTGTGCTAATATTATACAAACTTAGTGTTTCTTTTTCTATTTCTTTTTTCTCCCAGAGATTTTTGCTAACTCTTCACAAACACACACAGTAATCTTGGACAGTTTTTATAATGTACATGATGATAATGTATTTTTTAATCAAACAAAATCCTTAAATATTTTTATAAAGATTTTGCACTCATAAATATTTCAGTATATTACCATTCTATGATATCTGGAAATAATAATAAAAAAAGAAAGTAACTGATCTTATCAAACTGATAATGCAAACATGCTTTTTTTCTCTGGCATAAAGTGGGGAAAAATTTCCAGATTTTTTTTTTTCAATTAATGGAATTCTTTTCATGCTCAATCTTAATTTATTGAAAATGACCCATAACAAACTGGCCAAGCTCTCTGGTGAAAGGATCAACTAATTATTGTAATTGGTTTCGCATTGCTGCTCTGACAGGCCACTTGGTGGTCAGTTTTCTCCCTATCAGATCTAACTTATAAAAAATCAAAAACATAAAAAAACACTATTTAGGCTTAAACATGTGATTTCTATATATATTTATATATATATATATATATATATATATATATAATCTATATCATAGTATATTTCAATTTGAATTAGTTGCTGTAAAAGCATTATGTGATTTTATTTACACTATTTATATTTAGACTATTGTGCTGGGATGCAGACAATAGTCTGAATATAAATAATGTAAATAACTCCTCATCCCAGAAATTTAGACAGAAATTTTATATATATATATATATATATATATATATATATAACTACATTTTAGTGTGCGACTAAAGTTTTGCTGGATTAACAGCTCATCGGGCACAAGGTCTATGTTGCTAAAAGTAAACAAATGTCTTATGGGGGTATCACTGCTATGTAGCGCAAAAATAAAATTGCACAGAAGTGTGTTAAATGCGATGCTGGTGAGTTACATTTTTTTTTTAAATTAGAAAACTAAGAAGGATAGAAAAAAGTATGAAAAACTGATTAAAAATTTAAATTTATCTATCTTGTATAAATAAAATTAATTTTTTATTTATTTTTCTTTTCTTCCAAAAGCAAGTTATTTTTATTCACTTATGGTTAGCAACTCTATCTGCTTATGAAGATTAAAGAACAAAGAGTGGGGAGGAAATAATGATGTATCCAGGATACTTGAACTACCCTATTGAAATAGTAGAAAATAACTAAACAGAAAATAATTTCAAAGACAACAGTTGACGAGGAGGGTTAACTCGGTGTAGCAACCCATTGTCTTCTTCCACTCCTCAAGAAGAATATGTCAAAAGGCAACTTTATGATTTCTGAATGTCGTTAAAAGTGGGTTGTATTCTTGCTTCAGATGGGCTTGACCTCGACAGTGCAGGTATGCAGTATGAAGAGATCAGTTCTGAAGAAGAAAGCATGGAGGGAGAGTTGGATCTCGAACTCCTTGGAGTGGGAGGAGACAAGAAGAAGAAGAAGAGTGAGTTAAATCCTTGCAAAATTCTTGGATCATTTTTTTCAATTAGCAGTACTGTCTTGAACTGCTGCCATTGTTTGTGTGTGCCAATTTTACCAAAGGACTTGCTTTTTTTTTTTTTTCTTTTTTTTTTAATTAAAAATAACTTCTTATACCTATGACTTCTGTGTCCTATGCAAATGTCATTTGCATGTATTGTGCTGTCTCTTATGCTACTTGTGTTTGCTTATGCTGTCAAACTACACCATTATTCTTGGATTATCAGGAATTTTTTTTTCTGCTGCATGTTATGCTTTTGTGATCATATCTTAAAATGTTTGTCTGAACAGTTGCCTAGCAACAAGTTTAGTTTATGTAATTTTGACATAAAGCAATTTCTAAAGAATTAATTACTTTAAATGTTGGATACAGAACTGAGCAGATATGCATTTTGAGTAAAAATCCAAAGGAGTAAGGGTGCTTTAAATGTAAAAATAGAACCTTGCTTTCTTGTGACACTCTTTGTAACAAAGCAGTAAAAACACTGAATCAGTGTTTTTTTTCCTTCAAAGGGGGTGGGGGGCAGATTTGTATGTTGGAGATTGCATTTTCTTTAATAAGTTCTCTTGAGTACACAGGCTGGTAGACAAAATATACAGTTTAAAATAAGTGAAGCTCCTACTCAAGTGTGGGCATCCTTTTTATATGTAATCATAAAAAAAAAAAACATTCTTTGTGATTTTGTGCCTGCTAATGCTAATCTGATTCATTTATATTACTTAAGACTAAACATTCTTTCTCAGAAAGAATGAACTCATCCCTATTTCTGTCGACAATGTTTAATACAACATATTTGATATGTTCTACTGCCTCTTTCTAAACATTTTTATAGAATTTTTCTTGCATGTCTTTGATTACAGTATATACTCCAGTATGTGCGCACATGACGTTCAATTTCTGACCATTAGAATGTTCACTTTCTGACTATGAGACCCGGGTTCAAATCTCACCATGGTTGATTTGTCAGGAAGGCGACTTCTTGATGTTATCTGTCTGGAGGAGGTGATCCTAGTGTGTGGCACCTTTGGAAAGTGCCTGAAAACCATACTATGGATTGACCCAAGCCTTATGAGTGAAATGGGGTAGACGGAACCCATTGATAGTTGTTCTAGCCTTGTTCAGTCTGTTGATCATGCTAGATAACGTGCACACTCCCAGAAACAGTAACTACGGTTTGCTTAGCATAGTATAAACCACAGGTGGGCTCTGTGGGTGTTGAACAAACACAAATGTGCCTTAGCATGCGACTGCAACAGGGATTAGCTAGCCACCCTAGTAGATGGGCATCCTCGGATACAAGTGGCTGTACCGTTTAGATTTAGATACTCCAGTATAGTGCAAGTTTTTATTATCAGTTTACGGCTCACAATATACATAGGTCATTTTTTTGAAGAGATTAAAATTATGCATTTCAGTGACTGGTTGCACTATACACAGGTAATTTTTTTTCTGGAGGGGTTAAAATTCATGTAAAATCAATTCGTCTATGAAGTCAGTTTATACACACGTATATATGGCAGAAGCTTTTTATCTATATTACTGATATTCTTATTGGTTAGTACTTAGATAACAACCTTTTATTTAATCTTTTTATAACATTACTACTTTCTCTTTAATATATAAAATAAATAATATAATAAATAAGAGTAGATAGGTTCACCTATTGTCTGGTTTACACTCCTCCCCAGTTTTTTGAACTGGAGTAGAGGTTTATCCCTTGTTTCCTGTTTAGGATCAATTTTCCAGTTTCTTAAGCTTTTTTTCTTCTCTTTCACTTCCGGTATCCCCTTTGCAAACAAAGAACTGTACCAGATAACAGACAGCAACTACAACTAAAATGGATAGTACATATAACTTGAGAAAATAAAGAGATAATCAAGATGTTAATATTTTTTACTTCAACCAAAAGGTTAGGAAGGAATCAGCCCCCCCCCCCTCTATCAGTACTGGAAAGAGCAATAACAGCTACTGAACTTGAGAAGCCTATTTTCCTGAAAAATTGTTTTAAGAGAAAGATTTTATAAATTTCAACTGATAGTAGTACTGGCTGCTCAGTCAAATGTTTCCTCATAAGGAAATGGCTAATGTTACCATTATCATTTCACATCTTTATTTTAAGCTCAATCTACATGTGTTGCATTCTGGTGCTATAAAAGTCATTAATATGGTTTCTAATATCTTATCAATGGCTGTAAACTCTGAACATTTTAGTATAAAGAAAAAGCATTATGGATATTCAAAAAGGAATAAATAAACATTCATCTGAGAATCGCTTTTCACATAGTTATCACAATATTTTTTATTGGTCAGAAAGCTCATCTACCCAGTCTATCTGATTTGAAGACAAGATTTAACTTGTTCTTAACTTGCTGGATTTTTATTAACTCCTAATTTAGTCTTCTACTTAATGGTCTAAGAGGTGACTTTGCGAAACAGTAAATAAAATTCTGTTAATTCCAGGAGAAAAGCAATCACTATTTATTTTTATTTGATTTGTTATTTCCAATCAGACTTTCTTTCGAGTTGATTAAAATATTTCTCTTATTAAAATAGATTTTGAAATATTCAGAATTGTAAACATTTTATTTGTTTTTTAATATCTCTAAGATAATAATACTTGTGATGCATTGTACTGTAAAGTAGAGATTGTTATGTATTGTGTTGCTTTTGGTGGCTTTTAATATGTAATGTGAATTTTTTTTTTTTTTTTTATATGTATATTTTTATATATTTTTTTTTTATTTATTTTTTTCAAATCCAGTTATCACTTTCATTTTGCCTGATTGTAAGAATGAAAATTAAATGACTAATAAAGTAATTTTCCATTTTCTTTCAATGTTGGGACAGGATGTGGTTAGAAATATTAGCTTTGGGACTAATGCTTATCCTCAGATGCTGGAGTTTCCACTTCAGCCATAAGATATCTGACTGAGATAGACTTGGAGCAGATATTGCATCTGCTTGCACCTTGAGAGCCTGATAGATATCACAATGTAATGCTTGGATGCCCAGGGTTAGTGGTAATGATGCCATAGCTCTGAACCCCAGGTTCATTATCTGGTGAGGGCTTTGTTTGAAGTTCTGCAGTTGTTGCTTGAAGAAGTGAATAAGTCACTTTTTAGATGAACATTAGTTACTATGCCAGAGTAAATAAAATTACTTTGTCTACAAGCAGCTATCAACCAATGATCAGTGACTACTTTTTTCTTTTTTCAATCATTTCACTCCAAGTTTTAAGATGCAAGGGGTTAATGAGTGTGAAAGAATATGAGAGAAAAAAATTATTAAGGAGAGAGAACAATAAAAGAACAGGAATTAAATAACCAGAAGATTTGATTTTGCATTTTAAATTTTTGAAGATCAAAGTTGATTGAAAAGCAAGGGACCAGAAGAGATTTCCAGAAGTGAGTAGTGTGAAAGAAGAAACTGTTGCCATAGAACTTACGGTTACATCTAGCCATTTCCATTGTAAAATGCTGAGACCTTGTTGTCAATCTAATACTGTGCTTAAATTTGTAAAGATCACGTATCAAAGAGGAATAGTTATCATGAAAATATTTATAGAAAAAGCTACATCACAGTGGCTGAAAAATAACTGACAACCAGATTCCATGTCAAGACTGATAACATTGCATATTCTTCTTTAGACTCTGTCAAGAATCTCTAACTACATAGAAGTGCCAAACCTGATGTGGCAGCAATATTCAATACACATGAATAGTAAGTTTATAAATGTGTAAGATAGATTCTGTCAAAAAAATTGTCAAAGAAAGGAAAAAAAAATGTGCAGTTATTTCTGGTCTAACCTCTTGATTCTATTAGTTATGAGATATGGTTTGGCAATCTACAACTTCATCAGGAAATAAAAATGTATTTCCATATTTTGTTTTCTCTCTTTTGCAATAACTCGACCAATAATATCTTGAGTAATAGTTGGATATTTTCTTTGCTCTTCAGCAAATTCAAAATCCAAATTGATATTTAAATATCAACTGACTTTTCATAATCTTGCAAAACATGAACATTCTCATTTTTGCTAGTAATTGTTATATGATATAACCACCAACTGAAAATTTTTACCAAAAAAAAAAGAATTTTTAAAATTCTGCTTAATGTTGTTTCATGACTGAAACAACAAACACACACACACTACAAAATTTAATTATTGCCTTAAATAGAATTGATGTAAATATTTTAATACTAAAAAAGTGGGGAAATATCTTAGGAACCTTTTTGGCCAACCTTTCAACAGAGAAAAAACTAATTGGCAAAATAATTATTTCTTTATTTTTATTTAACAGGAACAGAAAAATACACTTTAAGTGACTAAATGGTGTATGATTAAAATATAAAATCATCTTCAATCAAAATTAGAATATCAATTTCATCTGTAAAGTTAAAAATGAATAAAATTAAGAAACAACCCTGAAAAAGCACCAGAAATATTTCAAGTGAAGGTGGGGAAATATTAATGTTCTCCTAAAAGAAGGGGACAAATGAAACTCTTCTTTTTCTAGCAAAGAGTAGGTCTTTTCAGTTTGAACGTGACTGCTTCAACAATCTTAAGCAAGTGCCGAGACCATACTCTATGCAAAATGTCAAACCAGTTCTGTCGATATTAACCAGAACACAGAATTATTAATTAAGTCCTTGCCAATGGCAGAGCCCAAAGTTGATTTTGTCATCAGTGTTGATCTATAAAACTCACCCCAAATTATATAGGTTAGAATATATTGGTTGATTCTCATAACCAGGCATAAACTGGTTCGATCCACATAATCAGCATCACACTGACATTTAAAATAATACACAACAGAAATGTTTGAAAATGAGTGAACATTGTCCTACTGAAAAGAAGTAAAAACACTTCTGGTAAGGAAAAAAAATACCTGCAATTTAGTGGTCTGATAACACTTAGAGATGTAGGAAATAATCTGGTCAACCTTTGCTTGACCATTTTTTCCAATCCAAAATAATTTCAAATAAATAGGACATTTGTCAGGACCATGCATAAGAGGAGAAGTTTTATGCACAAAAACTTCAGGATAACCATTATCCAAAAGGATATACTTTATCTTACAAAATGACTTTTAGTCTTGTTAACTGGGGGAAAAAGGCTGACTTGTTGCATCTTTTCAGGCTAATGTTCTTGGCTAATATGAAATGGAAAGATTATATTGAATCCATGGCTAGGTCAGCTGCTAAAAAAGTTGGTTCACTGTCGTGCTAGACTATTTTTCTCTCCATAATCTATCTTGCATAGGCATAAGTCTACCATTCATTCATGCTTGGAATATTGCTGCCACATATGGTCCAGTGCTCCTACTATCTATTTAGAACCCCTTAATAAAATCCAAAGAAGAAACAACAATATTACTGGTCCTGATCTGGCAGCTTTTGACTTCAGTCACTTTCCCACCTCCCTGTACCTGTACAGATGAGTTCTTTGCTATGGTGCCTAGACTTTTTGAATTTAAGCATGGTACTAGACTGAGAATGAGGTCACATCAATTTACAGTTGAGTTGGCCAGATGTAACAATAATTTCTATGCTAACAATTTCTTTTCTTGCACTTCTAGCTTGTGGACCTCTCTTCAACTGCATGCTTTCCAGCTAACTTTGATCTTCAAAAGTTTGAATTCAATGTCAATTGCTACTGTCTTACTGATTACTCTTCTTTTGTTCTCACTCCTTAGTAATGTTTCTGTTTTCTTTTTCTTTCACACCCAGTAACCCCTTGTGTTTTAGTTGTTTTACTGTCTTGCTAGGAGTGAACTCGATTTGAAAAAAAAAAAAAAAACTTCTCTTCCAACCTTACAGGAGAACAAATCATTAAGGCACAATGTGCCAGTGTATTAATCAAGTTGATCTTTCTACTTCTTCGTACAAAGGATTTCTAATCAGTGTACAAGCCTGAAAAGGTTGACATATGATATACACTTGTAAGAAACTTGAAATTTCAACAAGAACATCCAGAAAGGGTAGGGAACAATCATCTTCCCTTGTGTTTTGTTGTTCAAAAAAAAACAAAAAAAAAAAAAAACAAATAATTGTTTCACCAATGATTTTTTTTTCTCTGATGAAGAGTTGGCCGAAAGGTTCCTAAGATATCCCCTTCTTTTTTAGTATTAAGTTGTTTACATCAGTTCTATTTAAGCAATTATATATATATATATATATATATATATATATATATATATCACTTAGTTGATTGATGTTATATTCAGCACCTCAACTGCAGAGTATTGTAGACAAATCTTTTTGTAATAGTTTGGTCTACTTGTCAGGAGGCTTCAGCTGCCAACTTTCTCATTTTCATATTAAGTTAAAAATGAATTTATGCACTTTTGATTGGAGTTAGATTGATTTTTTTTTAATTCTTTGTTGCGTGTACATGTGTTTTTATGTGTAGAGTGGTATGGTTATTTCTCCTACACACACACACACATATATATATATATATATATATATATATATAATAGGCTGGCATATTTTGATTAACTCAAGATAAAGCTTTAAAATGTAACTTTAAGCAGTTTCCAAAAGTCTTTCTAACTTTTTCTTTTTATATTGTTTTGTGCTTTACTAAATATTTGTGTGTCCTTTTCTCTCTTTTTTTCGCTGCCACCTCTGCTGCTGTTGTTTTAGGTATTGTTGACGTGCTGAACATTGACTGGTCACATGTGATGCAGACCAACCGACCAAAGCACCAAGAGAAATCTGGATCTGCTTTGCAACGATTCTGGCCTGGGCAGATATTCAGCAAGATTGGAGTGTCACGCCAGTTTGCTGGTGAAACACTTTACCAAAAGTTGCAGGATCTTTGCAACAAGCAGTTGAATGAGGAACAACAAAAAGAACAAACAGGTGAATTTATTTTGATCCTCTTTGCTGTCACTTCGTATTCAGACATCTTTTGTTAACTATTATGGACACTATCATTAACTGATTTGGAAGTGGTTGTAAGGATTAATATTAATTATCTACAAGGCACAGCTTTTTTTTTTCTTTTTATATACACACTGAATTTGACAAATTATAAGGCTTGAGAGCCACTCAAAATATGGAGCTACTGCTAAAATGGTTATGATGAATGAGATGTGATATAAATAAGAAAGGAGAAGGTAAGAAGTGTTGATTATGAGGATAAGTAGGATAGATAATGTTTGACCCTTGACTTGAAGTTAAGATTGTAGTGTAGAGGGTTACTATTAAAATGATTGAGGAATGAGGTGTGTTATATGAATGAAAGAAGAGGTGGTAAGAAGTGAATATCACAAGGATAAGGTGGTTAGATGATGATTGACTCTTGACTTGAAGCAGTTAAGATTGTAGTGTTCAGAGTAGCGTCCATGCAGATGTCTGTTCTGAAAAGTAGCAATTTTGGGGGCGGAAAAGCCGTCTAGGTGGAACTTCCTTCTTATCTCTGGAATACAGAGGAAATGAAGATGTTGTGAAAGTAGTATAGCATGTCCTAGCAGTAAAGGTCTGAACTGGTGGAATTAAAGAATGGAGCCTGTTTGTGCATTTGCCATGAAAGTAGCAAAAGGCTTGTAGAAAGTAAGTCTTACCCTACAAGACTGCGTAAACGATTTTGAAATCTATTAAAGCTGGAAAGTGAAGATTGAGCAGCTTGAGTTCAGATATTGCAGCAATATTCCTTTTTGGAGCTAATCTGATTCTTGTAAAGATAAAGCATGCCAGAAAGAATCTGGTACCTCCTGGAGTGATAGAATCAGCTGAGCATTTTTCCAATATCTTTAGCAATGGGTTGTATATGCAAGTTCTATTTGAAGTCTGGTGTGAAGACCAAATAGACCTTGAAAGAACGGAGTCTCATTAACTGCAGATGTTCATCATGACTGGAGAAAACTCAAAATATGATTGGTGATGATATTAACTTAATTTTTGATGTATTGAAACTTAAAAGTCAGTTTTTTTCCCCGTTGATCTGTTAGAGCTCAGTCAGAGGAGAGATCAGCTGCCCAGCTCAGTTCATTTTGATATTTGGAAGTGCTTCCATAAACTTGTGGTGTCATCTACATAGATGTTTTCTAATGATCTGAGAATGTTGCTAGGCAAATTGTTTATAAAAAGCCGAAAAAGGGTTGAACCAAGGTGTGAGCCTACATTGATCTTATGAGCTTCTGATCTGAGAGAAAGAAAGGACTTGATAATTGTGTAAATTCTTTCAGAGTTTGAAGAGTTTGTGTAGCAAACTACATTGCCACACCTTGCCCAAAGTCTTTGAGCTAAATCCTAAAGCACTCACTCCGGTGATGAATCTACCATTGAGCTTTCAAACTGTTTTTTGTTATCAACACACTTTTTGAAAATTAATTTTTTGTGACAGATTACTTATGTTTTGTTAGCCAAATCAAATATATAATTAAAAATGTTTCTTGTAATCTAAACATATTTAATGGATACACGTGTTTAAGTGACCCCCTCCCCAATCTCTTTGTTTTTTTTTTAAGTAGTGTAATCTTAAAGAAAATCTGCCTCTTGGTAGGGATCAAATCTTTGTTTTCCTTGCATAGGAAAAAACCACCTTTTAAACTAGGTGTGCTTTAGACTACTCAGCCACAAGAGATCTCACAGCAAAGAAAGGCTCAATTACTCGTTATGAGAAATGCACATCTCTCAGGCATGGAGGCACAGTGGAGTAAATAGATAGCGGCTCAGACTGAGGAATCAGAGAGCCAAGTTTGAATTCCAGTTGAATCCGTTACATTCACTTACGTGTTAATACCCTTGGGAAAGGTATGAATCCACTTCTTTTCCCCCCAGCTATGGGTAAATAGCAGGACAGACCAGGTTCTATATGCCTTGGATGGCAACTGGTCTACTGCAGAAAGAAATGGCAACCTACTGTGGGCAAAAATCTGCCTCGTCAGTCATGTATTGAAAGATACATGATCGCCTAAGCATGTATCACCTATGGCACATAACTGACTGACCAAAACTCTCAGTGGGACCTTCAGTAGTCAAAATCTGCTGGCTTTATTTTCATACCCAAAATGTATACAAAGCTAAAAATGAACATGAGACCAAGAAAACATAGTGAGTTGTTCTCTGATAGATGTGTGCATATCTGTGTGAGATATATATAAAGTTCAAACAACTACTGCTGTGAAAATAGTCATGAAGCATTGCTGAGACACAATTTATAGCAATGATATTTATTCCCACACAACCATTTCGGCAATTTACTTACTTTGTATTTATTTTCCCAGCCACTGAAGGGGAAGAAGCAACTAATGAAGGAGAAGAGGCAGCAGCAAAAGAGACAACCACTGCAGTGGAAAAATTCCAATTCAAAAACGATATTGCAGCTCTTCATATGGCCATGGTAAAGAAGGCCAAAGAACGGGCCAACTTACTGCACGATGTTGGCCCTCATCGTAGGGCTTTGTGTGCTCGACGGGATCTTGAAATTCGACGTCAGCTCTGTCAGGTAGACAAGGTAAGGCTATATTAATGACTACATTTTACTTCACAGATTTGGAATTCTCGTATATCACAAGACATTAAATTGGTTTAACAAAGAGAAATAAAAGCTGACTGAATAAATAAATATTCTACAGTCTTTTTGCATAAGTAGTATTTTATGAAATAAACCTAATTTCTTAATTCAACTGTTTTATAGGGTATTTAAGTCATCAGGTTTTAAGGGGTATCCAAGCCTTCAGGTTATGATTATACTTTTAATTAGGTACCTCCACGAAATCGCTAAAAAAAGAGCATAGCTTGATGAAAAAGACGCCAACCTTGCCGAAAACAAAATTTTATTGTCTAAATGCTTATGTTATTATTTAGAGGAAAGACCAAAGTTTTTTTTAATTATTTTAAAAAAATTTTCCTTCTTTTTAGAAAATTCTAAATTTTGATTAAAAAAACCTTGTTTCTATTTGTATCATCGGAACTAGTAAATAACATAGACAATTTTTAGCACGTTTTTTTGGTATGACACACATTAATTTGAAAAATCGTGCAAAAATAGAAATAATTATCGGATGTTAATGAAACTTTCAGGAACTATTCACAGATGATCGAAATTATTATAAATGTTTTTTTTTTTATGAAAGTCATGGTAGAAATATTTTTTAAAATATTTATTAACCCCCAATACTAATTTTATGAAAACGCTAGAAATTGATTGCATCGGTTTTAGTGATTACAATAATTAAAAGCACAGGGCTTTGAGGAATGCAAATCATGTTTTTTTTTTGTTTTAATTGGATACCCAGTACCTGAAAATCAGCTCTGAATTGTAACATACAAAACTCAATAAAACAAAGATATTATTTAATTTCAAATGCTTTTATTTGCTTTTAGTTGTTTTTATGAATATGGACAATATTTTCTGAAAGCAAAAAAAAATTTTTCGATGAAAAATGAATTTTTAATACAATTATTTGTTATTTCATTAATTATAATAGATTTTACATTTAAGTTGTTAAAATATTATAAAATTAGTTAAAAAACACACAGGCTTTCATAAGTGTCCTTATGAGATAGATCTTTTTTTTAGCGTTGTAAATTGTATCATTTTGACTAATCAGAAGATCCCCAGTAATTAAGAAATGTAATTTTGTGCTTATAATCGAGCTGTAATTATAAAATACGGAAGACCAACCAGAATATAATTAAGTTGCGTTATTTGAGTTAAGCATTGTTCTCCGCTGTTAAGGCCTTTACTTTTGCGAAACACGTGTGGAGAAGTTAATTTGATTTTTCAATTTCAACTGAGAAGGTTACCTACAAGTATCAGTATCATATTATGAAATTTATATGATCTTATTTTTATATTAATCTCAGTTACAACATTTTTCCATAAATGAAATATCAAAATTAATAATAAAATGAATGCAAATATAAATAGCAGTAGAATGTAATAAATGTACATAAAATTATAGTATTTTATGTACAATTCTGATAAAATTTCATAAGAAAGGTACCTATAAATTAATTAGATACCTTTCTTAAGAAATATGAAATTTAATGTCACTCTTAACAGTTTTATTTTAATTTCTTTAGAATATATTTCCCATAAAGCATCATAAACGTAAAGGTGAAAGCTAAGTACAAAAAAAAAAAAAAAAAATTAGACCGCTGAAAGTTTTTGTTAAAAATAACGGGTAAATAATTTGTTCACGTAAATGTAAATTATTTCACTTTTCTCCTTCCGTAGAACAAATTAGCAGAATCCGTCAATATGTCATTCATCACATGTCAAGTGACGCGAAAGTTTATGACCTGCTTTGTTTTATTTTCAAATTACATCTTTTTGGCACAAAAGCTAAGTTAAGTTTGGTTCAAAATATTTTAAATAAACATTATAATTTCTGATTTTCTTAAAATAAGTTTTGAAAAAATGATAATTGATATTTAAAAAAATTCAAAGTCAGATTTCCAGTTTTTTTAAAATGGAAAAAAATGGTCAATTTTGCTGACTCAAAAAAAACTAGATTTTTAACGAAAATTTCGGACATGCTAGGAACGATTAAAAATGGAAAAAATATACCCCAAAATACTTTGACCTTTCCTCTTAATGAATAACAAACATTTAGACGATAAAATTTTGTTTTAAATCAAGTTTAAGCGTCTTTTTCATCATGCTATGTTCTTTTTTTAGCGATCTCGTGGAGGTACCTACTTTTAATTGATTAGAAACCTACTGTTTTGTTTTGGTTTGTTTTTTTATTTTTTACCTTTACTTTAAGACTGGATATTGCAAAAACTTTAGTCAAAGCATAATACATATTTAATATATGCATATATGCACACACACACACACACACACACGGCTTGTCTATTTTTGAATTTTTAGAAAGTGGTCCTTTCAAAAATATTTTACCACAAAATTCTTATTTTTGATATGTGCACCCTGTGTATATATATCTCTCTCTCTCTTTTATTTATATATATATATATATATATATATACACACACACACACACACACACATATACATCTCTATATGTGTGTGTTCATGTACAAGTATACATAAAAAGGCTCTAATATATGTATATGCCCTGTGTGTATGTATGTATACATATGTACAAGTATACACATTAAAAAAAACTCTAGTTTCAGTGGACTGATTTAAATTCCAACAGACATGAAATAGCTTATATATGTGTGTGTGTGTATATATATATATATATATATATATATATATATATATATATATATATATATATATATATGTGTGTGTGTGTATAAGTGCAGGTATGCAGAAAATAGAATAGGGTATCTATTTCAAGGCTAATGTTTACTTTTGGTGTTTTAAAATAGAAATCAGACATCTCTATCCCAATATTTCTGGCATCTAAAAGAAACGAATAAAACACCAAAAGTAAAATGGAAAATAGTAAATAAAACAAGAACTTGTAAAAGCTGGGATGACCCATGCCCTTTATGCCTACATGAAAAACTACACATCATTAAATTTCTAAATAATGAAAAATTATTAAACCATAGGCAGGAGTTAACGGTTTTTTGCCGACATCAACAAACTTTCGCATTAAATAATTAGCATAAAAAAAAAAATCCCATAGCTTAATAAAAGCCTTAAAACCTTAGCCAAATCATTAAATAGGAAAAACCCTTTCTGTAGTCGTCAAAAAAAACAAATTGAAATTCAGTGCAATACAGTTTATATATAAAACACCCACTTGAATAAACAAATAAATAAATAGATAATCAGATGGACAATAATAAAACACAGTCCTTCCGACACATAACGACTTGTAGGCGTGCCATAAAAATATCCCTCACTGGGAACCAACTAAAGGATGACCGCAAACATTAGCCTTGAAATAGATACCCTACACAACCTTAGCAAAACCTCTCAGAAGATGATGAATCTATTGATAAGAATTAACTCTCTGACCACTTAACGAAGAAAAATAGTCTAGCCACTCCCACAATAACGAATGTTGTAACAGACCATGCCTAAAAACACACGTAAACCGAGAGATAGCTTATTCCTAAAATTTCGCTTGAAGATGAAACGGGACTAAACACCTCAATTCAACTTAATTTTGATAATTATTTGGATGGTTTCAGCTCTCGTTTTTGAAACATGAGAACTCTTATGTAGCAAAGGAATCATATTTTTAAACAAAAATATATAATTAATATATATATATATATATATATATATATATATATATATATATATATATATATGGTCTAGTCATCAGATGCAATAAGGTGATTTATTTTCTCCACTTACCCTCAGTGATCCCAACACATTTTTCCTTATGTACAGTTTTGTATTTCTTTCATTCTAAACTGAAGAAGCCAGAAGGAGCAGATACTATTGACAAATGGTGTTGTTTATAGCTTTCTACTTTGTTTTATTATCTTCACTATGAATTAGATGATTTCTGTTTACTTTCTTTTTTACCTCCCAGTGTCTAATTCTATTTTTCTTATTCTTTTCAGAGTATTGAGCCAACAAGTATCTATCCTAATCAAATTATTGACAGTGAGTTATGCAAGTTAAGCATACAGCTATTCAAACAGGGCCATGACAGTTCTTTGAGGAAGGAGCCTCTGTTAGCTAAAGAAGTACCCTGCTCATCCTGAAAAACAAAAATGAGGAAGGAAAAACAAAATAATGAAATAAATCATCTAATGGACTAAATTCCATCATTTTTTTTTTACTTTTTCTTTCATTAAAATAAGCATTTATCTCAGATTTGGAAAGGAATCCTTTTAAATTTGGCTATTTTAGCCGCCAGTGCTTGTATTTCAACAAGAAAATAAATCTGAAACAGCAAGAAGATTGAAGAAAGAAAAACAAATGATTGAAAAGAAACGAAAAAAATATATGAGGACTCCAAAGATTGATTCCTTTGTATACCTGCTGTCACCCCACCCACACTTCTTATTCGTGTTGAATATGTAAATTTACAATTCAATCTTGGAGCTTCCATTTGATTTGTATCAAAGTATTACTATTATTATGATTATTATCAAAAGAATACAAGTTTCATTTTTCTTCTCTCTTCACCCATCCACTTCCTTTCCTTCTTTCTCTTGAGAGTGACTTTATTACCATGTTATCTCATTACACTCCCTTCCTTATTGTCCTCCTCCTGCCAAATTCCTACACCCACCTTCAGAATTTTCCAGGCTGTTTTGTATTTCAAGAGAAACAGGAGAGAAAAAAATTTGAAAAGCTGAACAGAGAGAATTAAAAGACAAACGATCAAAGAATAACAAAAAAAAAAAAAAAAAAAGCAAAAAAGGGGCTTTCTATTTTTTATCTTTCATTTTCATTTTTCAGTTTGGATAATCAACATTTAGAAATCATTTCACCCCTGCCAGATTTCAACCATAACATTTTTTTTTTCTTTTTAAAGTCTCTCATTGACAAGAGCATTGAACTGTAGGTCACAAAGTCCAAGGTTCTATTCCTGGTTTGTGAAGCTCATTACCAACACAAACATTCATCCAAGAGAAGGAAAACTCTTGACATTTAAATCAGGGCAAAAATATAGCCCCTTTTGCCTAACAGTCAGTCTCATACTTGCAAAATCTATACCACTTGAGTGGTTAGAAATTGTTTGTACATTATCATCCATGTGAGGGTCATAATCATACATTTTTAATGCTAACAAGAAAAAATGTCTTTTCTGACTAGTGTCAAGCATAGGACCACTACCAAGTCTTTTCTGTCAATGACTTGGGGAGACACTAGTCTCGGCTATTCTTCCTCTTTTTTCAGCCATTGGACTAATTATTCTGAAGAGAAATCCCACAAACAAATGGGTATTCTGCTACCTTTTATCTTGATCATTATTCTAAATGATTACCTGTGCTGAATGTTACATGACTTTGGTGATCTTAAAAAAACTGTTGTGTTTCCCCCTTTTGATATGATTCTCCACTAAACAGGGTTTACAAACTGTTTAAAAAAAAAAAAAAAAAAAAAAATGAGATGTTGGGCAAAGTTGGTGCGTGTTTTTTTTTTTTTTTCTTCTTAAAGGGATGGGGGAAAATGATTTACATAAACTTTTAAAAGAACTGTAAATATGTTTTTAAAAAAAATTTAAAACCAAAAACATGCAAAAGAAACTTTTGAAATCATCTCTTGTGTGAGTTGCAGACTATGAAAAGTTGGCTCCAAGCCTCAACTCTGCAGAGAAATAGTCACTTAGCTTAGTTTGGCACAAGGCCACAAATACGGAGCACTCAGTGAGGATCAAATTCTGCTCTGCAGAGGAATAATTCCATCAGTATTCAATTTTTTTTCTTTTCCTTCTTAAGAAAAGAAAATGTTCTTAAATTTTATTTAAAAATCGGCTTTCACAGAGCCCTTGTGTCATACAAATGAAAATGAAACTCTTTTTACTACAGTTGTGCTAAGAAAAGGAATTTTTTTTTTCTAATCTCTTCATAAAGTTACATTTTGGCTTAAATTCACACTGAAAGAAATACACTATTCAGAATTAAATCAAAAAGACATTTTTGGTGAACATTATTGCATTTTTCTCTCACTCTTTCATTTGTTGGGCGGGATTACTGAATGGTGTCAAGATGCTTTGTTTGGGCTGGGTAATAAATATATATATATATATATATATATATATATATATATATATATATATATATGAAAATCTCACTGGAACAGCTAAGTAAACATCTTGTGTTTTTTCTTTTTGTGTTTGCATCAGTATGTATAGAAGCAGAGTTGGATTTACCTATAAGCTAAAGCTTAGGGCCACACCCCTTCAGAGGAGCCTCATTTTTAGGTTGTTTTTTTTTTTTAAAATATATTTTTATTTTATCATTAGTTATTATTCTTTAACACTAAATCATCAAAAATTATATATAATCATTAATAAATAATAACCATGTGTAATTATTTAAAAATTTTTTACCTGTTTTTTTTTTTTATTATTATTATTAAGAGAAAAACCTCAAATTTCATATAGCTCAGGGCCTCAGGAGATGAAAGTCCAGCCCTGCATAGAAGGTTGGCTTAGAAATTCTCGCTAAGTACAATGATTGCAACCATTAATGTTCATTTGTTAATCTAAGAGTTACTTGCATTGTTGGACTCATTTGGTTTTCTTATTGCAACAACATTTTGGCAGATCCGTTCTACAGCCCTTTTGGGGGTATATTGCTGGAGAGAGAAAATTTAAATGAAACTGCATAACTTATGTAAAAGATATTGAGCCAGGCTAGTGTGGATTTCTATGCTTATTAGGGAGAGACTTGTTCAGGCATCTTTGTGATGTATAAATATAGAATCATCTGTGACACAAATTGCTGGGAATGAACCAAAACAGTATATTAGTCATCATTTCTGTTCACAAACTTTACTTTCTGTAAGATATTGACTCCTCTCTTTCTTTACAGATTATACCACACATGAAGAAGGCTCTAGAATAGATTGGCTGAAATGATATGGTAATAAAGAATGTTTAATAATCCAAACAGTTCTTGGAATGATGACTCATCTCAAATTTATAGGCAATAATTCGAGGACAGATATTTTTCACCAGTCAAAATTTTTTTTTTTTTTTTTTTTTTTAAGTAAAATGTCTGCTGTTTACAAAACAAAATTGTCAACTTGACTCCATGTGACTGTATATATGCTTGTAAATATCAAATGACTGATAAATATCTACCCTTTCTGGGCAAAAGAAAGACTCATTTTATCTTGGTGAAATGACAACTAAAAAGATGGCTTGTGTTACCCTGCTCCCATTTTTTCTTAACCCTCATGCCAGCAATAAAAATAGGTTTGAGTATTTGCTAAAAGTGGAGGCTTCTTTCCTTCATCCTTAATATAATAAACCCTAATTGGTGAATTCTCCAGATTGCCAGATAAAATGTTTAAGTATTTTGCTAATGTCCAATGCATTTAAAATCTGTAATCTCTTTTGTCTTTTCGTACCTCAATACATTTTTCTCTCTCTCTCCTCATTTCCACACTCCAAACTTGACACTATTGTTGATCTTCATGTTGAAGCAAATGTGTTTGTTCCAGTTGAGTTCCCTCAGGAGACTGCTACATAGAATTAAACCCAAAACACCTTAATCCTTAAGAATTATAAAGAAAAACAAAGAAAGTAATAAGCTGCTTTGTTGGTAAGTTTTTTGTTTTTTTTAATAAACAAAGGCACTTTAGAAAAATGCTTCAGAACCAAACGAATACAAATAATTATTTTTGCAACTTGATTCTGTGAACTAAATAAAAGCAAACAATTGTGAATGTTATTTCATTTGAGGCCATATCAATTCTGTCCACTGTTCAATTAAAAAAAAAAAACTTTTTACATTTGTGTAAGAGAAAGAGCTTATCTATTCTAGGAGATAATTGATTTGAAGTATGACAAATTTTCAAGTAATTGGATTAAAAAAAAATAAATTTCCAACAGTTGAACTCTTAAACTTGACATTAAATTTACCTCGGGCATCTCATTAATTTTGTTGCATTTATCTCATTGGCTCTTTTGGACAATTTTAATATTACACATTCACAAACCTGGAATTAATAGAAAAGAATTAAAATAAACAAACCTAAATTTATTAACAGAATTGTTGTATTTGAAATGTATATTAAACTATAATATCTATAGATAGATATATATATATATATATATATATATATATATATATATATGCAGATTTAAATCTAAATTTATATATGCTGTTTTCAAATTTTAAAGTCTGTAAATAGTTTCAAAATAATTCAGTGTCAAATAATTTATACATTAGCTGACCATTTATCATTTGTTCATTTCTTTTATCATCATTTATTCAGTTAGTGCACTTTTATGCAGCTGTGATCACCACTCCCCTCCAAATTAGATTTATGGTGACATTGAAGACAAAATAATGGCTTGCTGCTGCCTTTTGCCCCGGGGATGTTGAGTTTACCCTGTCTCTCCTCTCAGAAGTTCCTCTGCCTACTGGTAAAGCCATTGACCTTTGAGGGCTGGCAACTGGATGATGGCACAGGTGTGTTGGGGAGAGGCGTTCTTCTTTGCTGGTCAGGTTGAGAAACCTTTCCGATTATTCCCACAGTTTAGCTGGCAGATTGATGCCATTGACTGGGGTGTATCCATTGCAGTGCCCATGCAGCAACTTGGAGCCATGTGTGAGAGTTGGATATAGGCCATGGACCAGTACAGTTCTGCATCTTAATTCACCCGAGTAAAGCAGAGTTGACCATTTTGTTGCAAAGGTATTACCATAGATGATACATTCCATTTCCTTGATATCATCCATAAATTTTCTTTCCCTCTGTAGTTGATATTTTGAATAGCTAAATAAGCCATATTAATTCTGGACATGAGGTGTGTGTGTACTTTTTTATGTTAGTGTCACTTTCCTGATTTTTTTTATTTTTATTTTTTTAATTTAACAAAGTTTAACTCCTACAAAGGAAAAAAGAGATAAAGAATTAAACAATATTCTGATTTTCTTAAGTAACAGTTACATTAATTCCTGTCAACTAAGCAGGGTCAATGCTCCCCCCTACTCCTCCCCACGACATCTCAATTTTCATAAGGTAGTATTATAAAATACACATTTTATTGTAACCTAATTATGTACAATAACAGATC